TACAGAGAACCAAAGGCACCTGAGAAATTCTCATCATCAATTAGCAAGGAAATGCAACTGAAGTACCTAATAATAGCTGAATGGACAAAGAAGATATGGGAAATATACATAATATAATACTACTTAGTTATAAAAATAAAAAAGGATGAAATCTTGCCATTTGTGGCAACATGGGTACAAGTGGAGGGGTTACTTAGCCAATTGAAATTAAGTCAGGATAAGAGAGAAATACAGGGTCATTTTATCCATATTTGAAAAATAAACAGGAAAAACTAAGCCAAAATAAGCCCTGAAAATCTGATTGTGAAATGAAGTTACTAGCAGAGGGAGAGGTGATGGTGAGGGGAAGGGACCAGTGGAGTAGTAAAGGATTATACAACTTTTGTGGTTGGGTGTATTGCTGTAACATACACCTTGACGAGCAGTGATCCTGTACCCCTAAATCATATACAGTGTTGTAAACCAGTGTTATCTCAATAAACCATGATGCAATATAAAACAGAATAGGAAAGTTTCCTAAGAAAGCTTTATTTTCACAGTAGGGAAACCTGTAAAGGAGATAATACTGTCTGAATTTCAATTATCTTAATGACGGAATATAGTCATTTCATAAATTGGGCCTCTAGTGGTTTATTATTTAAGCTTGCATAACTAACAGGTATATACTGATTATGAAAGTCAAATAACTATGATTGTATGTGGTACACTTTTTTAATTAAAAAATACACCATCTATAAAGTTTGTATGATACAAATACTTTGTTTTAATATAAACAACAGCATATTTTTAAAAGAAACTGATGAGTTTCATCAGATCTTAAAAATCATAATATAACTAAAAAAAACCTGATGTCTTATTTTTCACCAAAATGATACATGCAAAGCTAAAACCAATCTCTGAAGAACACCTTTTTGCTGTTAAGCTGTTGAAGGAAAAATTTGATAGCAATGTTAATAATTTAACCATATTATTACCAAACACCTATAGGACTAGAATAGATTATAATTGATTTTAAGAGATAACTATTGCTATTGCATTTTATCAATCAAGAAACTGAAGCATATCAACATTGGTGACTTACTCTAAACTATATGGCATTAGGCCATGGGTAGGTAAAAGACCAGATGTCATTTTGCCCGTAGCTCGTAAGGTTTGGGTTGCCTCTACTCAGTTCTGTTAATGTAACATGAAAGCATCTATAGTCAATATGTGGATAGATAAGTGTGGTTTGTACCAACTATATTCTTCATTTTTGAAGGAGGTATTTTGAATTTTATGTAATTTCACTTGTCATGAAATATTCTTTTGGAGATTTTAAACAATTTAGGTATAGTTATGTTTTCTTGTAATGCAATATATAAAAATGCATTTCTTTAGCCAGTCCTACTCCAGATTTTTAGGTATACTTTGGGGTCCTACTTTGTTCTTTTTTGGATCTGTTTACTCTGTACCTTGTTGAGTTTTCTTGCAAGGGGGCTGTTTAGTTTGATCTCTAAACATTTAATCAAACCTTTATACTGGTCAGTAGAAAATATAGCAGGTTTAAAACATGGAACTTTCTATTTCAACATACAATTTAGATTCTCCTAGTGATTTGACTGCTGCATAATTATTTGTTAACATCTCTTTATCTTTCTTTAAGACAGCTTGGTAGGACCTGATATTTTTTCTTATTTACTCTGTACTTATTTTGTATCTGCTTTTTTCCCACCTCTTTTTATATCATTATCATGAAGTTGGGCCTTCATTCTGTTAGGCATGAACAAATCTTTAGTTTTGCTACTCTTTTTATATTCATATAAAGCAGACACATTCTATAAATCTAGATATTTTGTTTGGTAATCAAAAGATCACATAGTGTTTTCTAAATTTACTGTTAGAGCATATTTTATTTTTTCTAAAACCCTTTGTATCTAACCTCCATCAATACACTGCCCTATCAGTCAATATCTGTATTCCGTATAATAGTGTGATTCCACTCCTTTACTACCTAGTGCAGATTGCAGATTTAACTGCCTCACTATTTCAACATTTTATAAGTGCAATGCAAAATTGTAGCACTGTGATAGTAGAGAAGAATCAGCTTATATTTTTTGGGGGGGGGGCTTATTTGGGCCACTTTCCTAAATGAAATTATGTAAGATTTTGAAGAAACAACAGAGTAAAACACCTACAAATCCTTTAGGAGTTTAAGAGAAATGAGAGATGTTGCTACGATTGGAAGGCATGGGATCAGTGGTAAAAGTTATAGTTAAAAGAAGTTTTGGATTACACAGAAAGGTTCTCAGGTCATAAGGAATTTGAGTTTAAATATCAGTGATTTCAAATCACTGATGTGATTTCAAACATCTAAATAGAACAGAAAGAAAAAATAAGACAAGCAGGCTGTGTTGGAGAAGTAAGAGAAGATGCAGACTGTCAAGAAAGGAAGTTCATGCGTTTTTCTAAAGACAGTAGTTGCTCATCTTATTTTGCCATAATGCCAGGCCCTGTGTTACAGCGATTCTTGTTCTTCAGTAACTCAGAGAAATCGAGAATTAATATGAAAATAAATAACTGAAATATTTTATCCATGCAAAAGAACTACGTCAGTGGGAGGTCTTTGCTTTAGATGGTACAATCCAAGTAGCAGTTTAGAAAGTCTGTGTCAAATCAAGAGAGATGCAAATTAATGCTTTAATAATAGGCATATAGGAGATTCCAAGGTACACTGATAGGGATTTTTTTCGTATTACTGATATTTAAATAATTCCAAAAGGGTTAACAATGGCAAAAGTAATTCTCCCTCCCCTGCCTGGCTCCAAGTTTCTGTTTGCCCTATGCAAAGAATTGCTTTTTACCCATTTATTAGATATCTCTAGACAGTCTTAACAATATGTATTGATTATACATGCCTTCTACATTCTTACTCTTGCCACAAAAATGATATTCATCCACATATATATGCATATTCTCATATTTTCATTATATGTTCTTGCATGGGTGTATTGTACTTAATATTAAAAGTGGTAGATGTTTAGCATGTTTCCATTCTTTTCCTAAAAGTCATCTGTGGAAGCATGTACTTATATATACTTTTTTCTGATCTTGAATATTTAGAAAATTAAAATTTCTTTTAAGCGTAATTGCTAAGTCATGATATGTGTGCATTTAAAATTTTTGTGGCATTACTGTGTTGTCCTTAAAAGAGGTAGTACCAGTTACCATTCACAAAGAGTTAGAAACTACTCCTCTATCAAAACCATGATAGAATACATCAACATTTTATTTTTATGACAGGAGAAATGTAATTGTAATTGAAATGTAATCTTTGTAGTTTTCACTCAAGTAGAACATCTTTTCATGTAAAAAATTCACTGTGTTTCTCTTCTCTGAAAGCCTTCATTTCCCTTAGGTTTTAATAAAATTATTGACTTTTAAAGTTTGTATAAGCTTTTTAATTAAGAAAAAAAATCAGCAAATATTCTTAATTTTTAAATTTGCTTTGGACTAGTTTTAAGGGTTTTTGGCCTACTGACATTTTAAATTTTAATGTCAAATTTATAAAAAAAAAAAGCGTATGCAGGATGTTTAGAGGGGTCTTTGTAATTATTGTGTAATACCTAAGTCTTTTACATAATTTTTAGAATTAATTATTTTAGTTATATTTTAAAATTAGTAATTTATTTTAGGTTTTCCTATAGTTGGTATCTTCTAGTTGAATTAAAATTCAGATTTTGATATATCATTTAAGCTCCTTAAGATTGCCAAATAAATACTGAGTAATATCATAGTTTTTCATGCTCATGATTAGAATGTCATTATTTATTCCATGCGTTCATCAATAATTAAAGACACAAAATGTACTTCATGACAGTATTTTTTGAATACTTAGGAGAAACCACAACGTGGGCATTATGTCAAGAGCAGAATAATCTGTTAAGCCTAGAATTTAAGGGCTGAAATTATAGTACACATTAGATATATAGTTGGTGATTTTGTTAGAAAATAAATGTTGACCGAGTTTCATGGTGACTCTTAACTTTCTTTTTTTTTTTTTTAAGATTTATTTATTTATTCATACAGAACTGGGGTACAGGCCAGAGGTGCAGAGGGTGAGAGGGTTCACCAGGGACAGAGTGGGGAGCAGAACAGGCAGATCGATGAAGTACACTGCTGAGGGGAGCAGCGGGCGGGTCAGGAGAGGGCTGCCACGCTACGTGGTCACCTCCGGGGCAGGCGGGGATCGAACTCATGGGGAAGTGGCTTAAGCTTCTTAGTGTAGTGCTTTAACCTGCTGCGCCACCAGGGAGGGCCAGACTCTTAACTTCTTATATTTTTGGGTCTATTTTACACATTCCTTAATTTCAAAAACTGGATTCTGAATTTCATCTAAGTTCAAGTTTACTAGGTAAAAGTTAACTATGTATCCATTTTAGATTATCTTGACATATGTAGTCACTTTTTTGCTAGCTGGGATACCAATGAATTTTTTGCACTGTGAACCTTGGTTGATAATGAGTAATGTAATTATTCATTTTCTCTTCTAGGACTTCATTATAGTTCTTGGCATTTTACTTGAAGATGTTTCTACTCAAATTCTACTGAAAACATAAAATGAATCTAAAATGACCAATAATAACTTTAAAAAAAAAAAAAAGATTTATTTATGCTTACAGAGCTGGGGTACAGGCCAGAAGTGTGGTGGGTGAGAGGATTCACCAGAGACAGAGTGGGGAAGAGAACAGGCAGGTCTACTGAAATACACTGCTGAGGGGAGCAGTGGGCAGGCAGGAGAAGTCTGCCACACCATATGGGTCAGCTCCCTGGCTGGGGATCGAACTTGTGCTGCAGTGGCTTCTGAGAGCTTCATAGTGCGGTGATTTAACATGTTGTGCCACCCAACTTTTTCAAAACCAAATATTTTAAAACTAAAAATCTCTTATTACATTACTGTTATCTTTTAAATTAGGTCAAAAACCTCAAAGATACAATGAAAGTTATTCACTTATTTGTTCTAGGAGTTTCTTTGAGTTGCTGCTGTTCTTTGGAAGAGATGAGTTTTATGAAGAGCCCTTAAAGGATATTCTTGGATCATTCCAGGTAAAACAGTTTACTATACACCTGCCTATAATGAAAATAAGACTTTTACTTCCCTCCTAAAAATAGTATATTGGTTACTTTTTACTTTAAGTTTTATGTTTACTAAGATAGTAATGTTTAAGAGCCTGTTAGATAAGTTTTTTTTTTTTTACAGGATTCCAGCTTCACAGTTGACAATCCAGAATTTGCTGCCAACATCTATAGATTCCTAAGCCTATCCTACACATATATGTACTGTTTTATTATTACAGGCTTTATTCCTAAAGGTCCATGTAGAACTCAACCCTAGAAAATTACTTGTCTTTACTAGAAGCAGACTGTCCCATGTCACTTTCTCTTGACTGTACTCTGATTATGTCATTTATTTTCATAATAGCTTTCCCAAAACAGGAGTCACATTTTTTTTTTTTTTAAACGTGGCAAATGAGAGAAGAAAGTAAATCCAGAAGGACTGGCACAAGAGTCCAAGACCTCTCCAATAGATGCAGGAATATTTTGATCTTGGGTGACAGAAAATCTAGTACAAAATCTGGCTTACTAATGTGTTATTGGCATTATCTCATCTGCATCTCTCAGATGAACAAAGGAAGATATACTTTGAACTCCTTCTAGGGATGTGTTCAGACACATTATCTTACATTTATTGCTTTGGAGTGAACAAGAAAGGTCAACCAGAGATATTGGTCCCCACTCTTGAAGAAAGAGATCAGCAGAGTTAGAGAAGTCATTCAGTACTTTCTCTTGTCTAAAACTTATATTTGATAATTATTGAAAGAGAACTTTTAGAATAAATTAAAAATATTTTTATGAGTGATCTGGTACATAAATGAAATGGAGTTCAGTGTATTAGTGGCAAAGATTTTTTTGTTTAGACTAGAGGTAGGGCTTTGTTAACCTGGGGCTTTTTATTCAGCTTTTCCTTCTTTGGAAGAGTAAGAGAAAGAGATGGGAGAAGTAGGGAATATAACTTCCCAAGTAGGAGGATGCCCAAGACTATCTTACTGTAATAACAACATAAAAGATGAGCAATCAATCAAATATAAGGGACCATCCACAAAGGAGGAGTTTAAATATGTTGATATGACCACCCTGTTTCACTGGGGGGGATATTGGTATCCCCTAGTTTTTAGAGTGTGTATTTATTGTCATCATAAATCCACAAAACTCCCAGAATTTCAGCCAATGCAAAGTTTAAGAACCACTGACTTGATTAAAGTCTTGACACCCTGGACCGGTTCAGCTCTACTTGGAATAAACTGCCCAAAGGCTTAGTTTGATAAAGCCCTTGTCTTGGTATTCAAAACCACCTTAATTGTGCTAATTAAAAGCTTTTAAAAAATATAACCAAATCAGCTTAATAGATGTTTTGTGAAAAGCAGCTTCAAAATTTTGTTCCCATATTATCTGCTCTAATTGATGTCCTCTCCTGTCTCTGCTCAAATCTGTCTTGACTGCAATTTTTCCTGTAAATCTTTCATCATCACTAACATAAATTAATCTATATTTTTTTGTGATTTGAATGTCTCTCTAATTACCCTATAGACATGTTAGGCAGACACTGCTTTTCATCCCTGTGTTTCTAACATTTATTAGTATTACTCCCTTAGTACTGATATGTTTGTCAGCAAAAAGAAGGATAAATAAATCATTCCAATTGAGTGCCTAACAAATTCTTTTTTAAAATAGCCCTTTTTATAGCTGTGTCATTTTTACTGAACTCTAAATATATACTGATACATATTGTCTGAAACTCTTCATGTGCCATTTGTTTATGGTTATGTACAGTGAAGTGGGAGAAATCAATAAATGTATTCATGGAATGAGACCATCAAAATTTGTGTATTTTACTTTGATAATGTACAGAAAACAAGGTGAAGTGTGCTTAATTGTGAGAACACTGTAGGGAAAAGATTTTATTGTCTGTGAAAGAAACATACTTACCAAGTATACCACATACTTAGCACTGAAAGGAATTGATGTTAAAATTAAAGTTTCATATCTAACATTATTTTATAAAGATTGTATTCCTTAGATAAACTGTGTCCTGAAATGTGTAGTTTTGATTTTTTTCTCCCACTGGCATATATCTTTTTGAAATTATTACTCCTGATTGGTAATTATTGTAGGTCACTTATCTTTTCATTTTCCCTATAATTTTTTCAAAATAATCTGTTGGAGAAATACCTTGCTTCAACTGCTGACATTGTATAATCATTTTGAAGAGATACAAGAGCCAGAGTTACCTCAATCATAAAATATGTAATAAATTGGAGACAATTAAGCTAAAGGGACCAAGAGCACATGCCCAAAAGATAAGGTATCAGTACCAATAAGTTGCATCTCAAGAAATGTTAAAATAGCCTGACCTATATACAACAGTAGTTTACTAACATTGTGCATTGATAGTTAATCACACCATACTTTTTAACCATAAACAAAGATTTCTATTCTGTGCATATTGCAATTTTGTGTTGTAGGAAGCAGTACATGTGTTTTCTGATATCACTGATAAAATTAACACTTTGAAACTAGCTCTGAAAGGCGATATCAGGATCATTGCAGCATTCATTGTTCACTAAAAAGTGACTGCAACATATCCTAACACATAACAACTAGAATTATTAGCATGTTATTGTTTGAAGTTTGCTTTTTTTTTTCAGGTAAAAATATTCAATCAAAATTTAGTTAAAAAGAACTACAGACAGCATTAAGATCTATCTTGTATTTTAATAAATGATAAAACACGATCAGAGATTTTTTTCATTTTTCTAGTTAACAATATTTACTGAAGATTAAATAACTCTGTTCAAATTATATCATAGGCAATACTGTGACTTGTTCTTTTGACTGACTCCACTGTTCTTTCTGTTGAATCAGATTTCATATCTTTGTGTAGGAATCTGTGCTTAGAGAAATCTTGTGTACACCTTAATTCTGCTTAAGGGTTTGTTTTACAGATTAGAACTATAATAACAGCACTTCTCTGTTGGCTTTATTATTTCATTACTTGTTAAAAAAATATTAATGGTAGAGTTGTGCTTGCATTAGCACAGCAATCACCAGTTGATTTTTTATTTGATTTTTCTCTCATTGGTGGTTTTGAATATATTTATGACTGACTTCTCTTTAAGAAAAACTATATGATTGCAAATTTATGTACTTTTTATATTTACTAAATTTCTTAAAATCTACAAAGGTGTACTCAGGTTTTTTTAACCAGGGAATAATTACTCATATTTAAATGATTTTTTTAAAGTCCCCAAAGAGTATAGCTTAAATTGCCCATTATATATACAATGTAATTATGTTTAAAAATCATTTATAATTTATACATTTTTATAAACAGGGAATCACTTTAGAATTTGTTTAATTCAAAAAGAAAACCTTATGCCATTTATAACAATGTGACTGTAGCTAGATCACATTCACATACTAAATGAATTAAATCAGAAGAGAAACAAGTACCGGATGGTGTCACTTATATGGGGAATATAGAAACCAGACACAGAGTCTGATAAAGCCAAAACTCAAAAACTAGTCCTTGAAAGCTAACTATAGAAATGAAGCTTAGTACTTGAGGGAGAAGTTTATTATGGATTGAGATAACTAGTAGAGGCTTCAGGAAAAATGTGGGAATGATAAAGGTAGGTAGGAAATGATTAAAGTAGGCTTATAGGAAAACTTAGATACATTTACAGACAATTATAGGAGAAGGTAATATGAGAAAAGACACAGGCAAAAGAGCACATGATGAGTTTCAGAGACACAGAAGAGACCAGGCTAGAGAAAAGGATTCATGATATGGAGGAGGTAAATGAATAGGCAAGTAAGTTTACAGGTCCTTAAATGTGAAATTTGGGCTTTATGAATTTGATCCTATGACGTGCTGCTACAAGGTTCATACGAAGTTATGTAGAAATGGCCAGAAAATGATCCATAGCGTCACAGACATGTTGAAGTAACTGACCATAATGTGGCTATAAATTCAGGAAAGAGAAATTTCCTGGACTGACATATTAGGTTTACTCAACAATGGGTCCTGATCTGAAAGAAGAGTGAAATTAGTAGTAGTTGTGTTTTCACTCTACCAGAGGAACAGGTTGACCATTTCTGAGGGACAATGATAATAGGTAATAAAAAAATTACTTAAATAAAGGCATAGGTTAATATGCCTTTTAATTAAGTAGACATTCTAAAAAAAAAAATACAAAATGTATATACTTTAGGAATGATAAGCTGTGAATTCTACAGTAATTTAAATGCTTCCATTTTAACTTTGGAGGCTTTTAATTTGAATAACATCCCAAAAAAGTCACTCTAGTATTTAAGGAAGAGCCAAAAGATACTTATTTTTAAGTATCCTGTCTTTTTAAATAGACCAAAATGGAGTCTTCAATATTATTTCCTATTTAGAGCTACTTCCCATAGAAGTGGTTTTTCCAAAATATGGACCAAAGATACAAAAGCTAACTAAAATAATACAAAACTTACACTTGGAATTATTATCTTGGAGAAATGAAATTTAATGTCTTAAAAGGTACTACAAGTATAATTTATGAAATAAAGATTTATAAAAGAACACCCTAGATGTAGGAAGTGCAATAAACAGGTATGCCGGAGTCGACTGTCAGATAGAGGTTGTTAACTATACAGATTATCAGGGGTTTTTCCCCCTAGAAATCTGATTCAGTAGGTTTGAATGTGGGCCTAGGAATCTGGACTATTTTTAAAATCAAGAGCCCATAGTGTTTCTTACTTTCATCCAAGTTTAGGATATTGACACTAGACTTATTTCACCATATCTACTTAGGCTTATGTCAGGTTTAGCCCCACACTACTAGTGGTGTGGTATGATGGGTACCTCACCTACCATTAAAGACACCTGCGAAGATGGGTTGCCCAAGAGCTGGGTGTAGTAGCACAGCTTAAATTCACAGTGCCTGTAGGGGCTAACAAGTTTACTTCATTGCTTTTGCTATTGGTTTTGGTTTTGCCAAAAACCAGTTTACATAGTTGAAGTTTAGGAGTAGCAATACGTGTGTCTTGAGTAATTTGGGAGCTTTTTTAACCTTGCAGTTTGAAACTGATAATTGCTTTTAACCATGAAGCTGTTAGTATAGATTGTTAACTGTGTTCCATGAAGCAAAAAGAAGCCTGGCTGTACAATAACTTTATATACTACCTTATTTTAATTTTTATGAATGTTGTAATATTCTGACAACATAAAAATGCAGAAATTAATTTTATGCTAAGACAGCTGTATATCCTAAATTACAGTATGTATACAAAATATTAAGATACACTAGAACAAATAAAAGCTAACATTTATTAAGTGCTTACTATATACCAGGCACTTTCCCAAGCATTTTATAAGACTGTGTTATTCAGTCCTCACAACAATCCTATGAAGTAGGCGTTTTCATTATCTATTTTGCAGAGGAATTAACTGAAGGAGCACAGAGAGGTTAAGTAACTTGCCCATTGTACATAGGGTTTTTACTTGCTGACTTGCTGGTTTGAATTTGGGAGTGCCCTAAGTAAATTTTTAGAAGTACTTATTTTCATGTTTTGATGTAATGATCTTTTGATTTATATGATCTTAGTAATTATCTTGATAATTTCTTACATTGTTTTCTTTAAAAAACTCATCTATTTTAATAAGGAGTGAAAAATGGCATATAGAAATCACTTGGGAACATTTAGTGAGGAATGAACATGGCAAAAAAGAAACACAAAAAGTGTTTATGGCCACTTTGAATATGTAGTTTGGTGATTCATCTGACCACGTAAAGTTTGAAGATGTATTGAAGCATTCTTCCTTCACTTTATAGTTATTACTAAATTTTTAATTTCTGAGGGAATTTTTAGCATAGAAATAAATTCTGGCAATTGTTTTTAATTAACGTGGAATTAATCAAAATTTTAACATGGCCAACTTTAATAGTTTCTTAAGGCTTTACCCTCAGTTTTTATATTTTTTAAAGTAAATTCATACTTGTAGTAGGTCTTCAGTTAATCTTTTAAATTATCAAATTAAATTCGTTGAAACATTTTTTAAAACAACATTCAACAAAGTATATAGTGAATGGAAAAAGTATAGTGAAACAGTTAAACCTTGTAAATCTAAAAAATGAGATTTATAAATTCAGTCAACCAAGTTCACTTAAATATTAAACTTTGTAAATTTTTGTATGTATATATATATATATCATAATAAATCTAAGATAATAGCTTCTCTAAAACCATTTCAGATATATATTTTAAGAATTCTAGAAAATATGCACAGAGTATTAGTTAATGCCCAATTTATCAGTACCTCTTTATTGTAAATCTGATGTAGTTTTCAAATTACAGATTTGACTCATTCCTTTAACTAAACTTTTCTTCATCCCAAACCAACAAATCTACTTACATATCAAAGCAGAATAGAATTTCTTTGTTCAAGTCTTCTACCACAACTAAGGTTACACATTTGGTATCAGGCAGGGGACCCTTATCTACTTGCCAACCAAAGGACTAGGCAGGGACCACTCCATCCCCTTGGTAGAGTCAGGCTCTTGCCTGTCATTGTTAACGAAACATGAGCCCTCATAGAAATATAGCTAATTATTTAGGTTTTACATTTTTGCAACCTGGTTCTTTTCCTAGAAATGATGCATCCCTTAAGTTTTTCTCTTAGGTTACACCTTATCCCTATTATAATGGGATTTCCAAAGTCCAATTATGTATAAACTGTGTAACCTTTGGCATTAAAGCCTATTTGTGGAATAATGGGGTTTTGATACCCTATGTAAGTTACTATAATAACCCTTTCTCTTTTTTAATTTAATAGCTGTCTGATTGACCATCAGTCATTTTATTGACAATGATGATCAAGTTTAGTTTTGACCCCTTTAAATTCATAAAGCCAAAATGATTTTTCTCTCCTAGGAATGCCAGAATCACCTCCGCAGATATGGAAATGTGAATCTGGAACTGGTGACTCGAATCATTAGAGATGGTGGCCCATGGGAAGATCCAGTGTTGCAAGCTGTTCTTAAAGCCCAGCCAGCATCTCAGGAGATAGGTACTTCAGGAGACTCAAAATCAAAATCAACATTTGTGAGAAGCAAACACAATTTAATTTTCTTAACTAGAGCAGTCATAGTGATTTTTCTTTATTTTATAATACTGAGTATGCAAGTTACGTATTTTCACATTAAGTGTGTTGTTATACTAACCTAGCCCTAGAATGGATTTTAATATCAGAGTAGGTGTTTAGTATTGGGAAATCACAGTGTGAACAGATTTACTATCCGGTGTTATTATTTACAGATAGTTTATTTTTGTTACTTCTGTTATATTTTTGAAATCTATTTAAGTAGAAACACCCTTGAAATAAAAACAAAAACCCTGCTTAAGCACATGGAAGCTCCCGTCTTCAGGAAAATGAAGGATTCAATTTTTGTCACCATCACTGCATATCCTACACTTAGCCCACTGCTTGGTACTTGATAATAGGTACTAGCTCAGTGAGTGAATGACCACATGATGAATGCATAACTGAGTGAGTTAGTAGTTGAATAAGTTTCAATTCCAGATACTGTAGAGTGGTATTTCTCAAACTTTAACAATTAATAGAAGTTAATTTCTGTATTGTCCCTTACCACCTGTAATATACTTCATCACTTCCTGTCAAATATAGATCCCTAGTGACTCCTGTAGGTAAACATTTTCTTTTGAGGCAGGACGTTCTGTCAATCACTTTAGTTAATTTTTTAAATACATGCTAACAGTGTTATTCCTGAACCCCTGACCCTTACTAACTTAGAATGTAAGCTCACCAGCATTGAATAAGCATTAAAGTGTGGATGCAGTATAAGCTGGCCAAAGGGAAAAGACTACCAGCTCTGGAACCATTCATTCACACTGTGGTCTGGGTGAGAAAGACTTCACACCACGGTTGTGTTGAACAGGTTAGGATCTTTCCATTTGTCACAGATTAAGGGATGCAGAATGAATTGTGAGTAGAGTTGAGTGGAGAAAGGTTTTTGACTCTTGGGCTCAAGAGCAAACAGACACCCAATAGATACATGTATGGAGGATGGTAAAGATGAAGAAAGATCAGTCTAGGAGAAGTAATGTGAAGCATTGGCAGCGAGATGGGATGTAGGGCAAGACTTGGGGGAAAAGACTAAGGTATATATGAGTTTATCTCACAGTCGATAGTGGCACATACCCAAGAGATACTAAAGAAACTAGCACTTAATATAATTCAAAAAGGAATTAAAAACTGAAAGAATTGCAGTTGGAATTAAGGAGGAAGAGTTGAAATATTGAGGAAACGTGAAAAGTTAATACAAGGAAGGCAAGGGTGACTGAAGGAAATTATGAGACTGGGGACTGTAGGCTGGAGGGGACAAGAGCTAGACAAAGAGCTGCAAATGGAGTAAAAACAGAGGACAAAGTCTGGGCTTTAACAACTTTTAGGCTTACCTGAGTAGGGTCTAGAACAATCAGTTGTTTCTTGGTGTGAGGGTTGATGGCCTGCAGGGAGCAGTGTGTGTGCTTTCACAATACTCCCCACATACACCAGTGTATCTCACTTTGGGAGAAGCTGTTCTAGAGCCTCACTGACATGAATGATTCTATTTGGGTACTCATTAGGGTTAAGGCCAGTCTGAAGTTTATCTTTGTATTAACTTTTACAGATAATCCGTGTGTGCTTATCATAAATTGTAAACAGAATTTTAAAGCAAATGTTGAGGCCCAAATAATAATCTACTTATGCATAAGCATTTTTGAAACTACTGACTAAATATCTGTAACTACAGTAATTAAAACACTTGGGTTCAAAAATCATGAATTATGGATTTCAGTCCTGTACTTATTCTTTGTTCTTGGGCAAGTCATTTGACCTCTCTGAGACTCAGTTTTGTGATCTGTAAAATAATTATGAAGCCTGCCATAAGGTTGTTGTTAGGTCTAATAAACTTATGTAGATGAAGGTGTTTATATATTTTTAAATTGCATAAAAGCAGCTACAAGTAATTAGTCTTAGTGATAAGTTGACATGTGCAGTCCTTTTGGTACTAGTTTTGGCTAAATTTTTTGTTAAGTAGATTATTTCTTTTATGAATTAACTTTTTCATTAATTCGGATTACAGTTCTCTAATCTGAATTAATGTTTAATTAAGGGTCATCCATTTAATCTTATAGTTAGGAAAATATTGAGCAATAAGAAGATAGCATGCATCACAGTCTGTGTGTTATTTGAAACACTGTGACACATTAGTGAACTGAAACAAGAAGATTCCATGCTTTTTTTTTTTTTTGTAATCTTGTTTTTTATTTTTGAACTGGAGAAATCAACATTTCTCACACTCTTTTGTTGTCATTTCCATTTTCCCAACCATATAATTGAACATTGTTTTTTACAACTTTTAGTAAGAAAAGTACTTTACCACCTTAGCGATAAAGATTCAAATAACAAAGTTTGAGAGAATATTTTCTTGACAGTAATAAGTCTATTTTCTTTTTAATATAGTGAATAAATATTTAAGTTCTGAAAATCCACTGTTCTTTGAACTACGTGCCAGATACCTAATAGCTTGTGAACGCATACCAGAAGCAATGGCTCTTATTAAATCTTGTATAAATCACCCAGAAATCAGCAAAGACTTGTACTTCCATCAAGCTTTCTTCACATGTCTGTTTATGTCACCTGTAGAAGATCATCTACTACGGGAGGTACTGTCTGTGATTATGTTTATTATTTTAACCCTAGCAAAAAAAAATTGTCCATTCTTGTTAAATTTTTTTATAGCAATACCCAAAGGTTTTGGGATTATTTAGCTATGTTCTCTTTGGCACAGTTTTAAAGGTCACATTTAATTAGAATGTAATAATGACAAATATTAAATTAATAAAACTCACTAATCAGCATTTTTCCTGTTTAGCTTGTGGTATGACAGAGGTGAAATAAAAACTGAGAAGCATTATGACTTTTGCCTGTTAAATAAAGTACTGAGAAACTACTTTTTTTAAAAACATAATAGAAAGAATAATAAGCATGTCCTCAAATAATGGCGCATTGTCACTTCATTAGAATTTTGATAAGAAAAAATGTGAGTTTGAAAAACAAAAATCCTGGCCATTGCTAAACAGAATAACATTATTTAAGGATCTGTTTCATTATAATGTTGTTTAATTTACAATCTGTTTCCAAGACACTATGAATGAAATTGCATGAGGATTTTGCTGTGATTACTACTTATCTACAAGTTAAGAATTTTTAACAAGATTAAAACAAGTCATTGGAAACAGGTGCTATTAAGTGAAACTGTATGAAAACATGTTTTGGTATTGTCTTTTTAGGAGAAAACTAGAAATCTAATTTCTTCTGAATGCTTAATTTAAACATGTATTGTTACTTGAATATTGTATTGCCTGCAGCATTTCAGATATTTTTAATGATTTGAATGAGTTTTTCATTTCCTCTTTTAGCATTTATTGAAAACTGATTGTAAGAGTGGAATTGATATCATCTGTAATACTGAAAAAGAAGGCAAGACTCTCTTAGCCTTGCAACTCTGCGAATCATTTCTTATTCCACAGCTCCAGAATGGGGATATGTACTGTATCTGGTAAGTATTTCTATTACAGAAATTGAAATAGTAAGATAGAGACAGAATAATTGAATAATTGATTAGCAGAGTTTGGACTTCCTTTTTTTTTTAAGTTATGTGAAAATGTTCAGCCACTGTGTTTCATTATTTCTGCATAATTCTTCTTATTTTTTATTTATTTATTTTTGCATAGAAGAACTTGTTGTAGAACAGAGATGTGGGGTTGAGAAGAGTCACCAGAGCCAGAGTGGGGAGCAGAAAAGGTGAATCTACTGAATTACACTGCTAAGGAGGCAGTAATGAGACAGGAGAGGTCTGCTGCACCATGTGTGGGTTAGCTCCTTGGCTGGGGAATCAAACTCATGCCATACACTTGAGACTTAACTGCAAGGGAGGCCCACTGTTTGTCATTTTTATGTTAAAGAACTTAAGTTTCATTTGTAATAGTTTTTAACAGCTAATCTAAAGATGTTTTAAATAAATAATTAAAATCTATCTGTTGGTAGTATAAATGTTTAAGTGGTTTTAAATCTTAGTTTTTCTAAAAAAAAAAATTTAGAGCTCTTTAGAAATTACAGTATATTAACATTTTCCATATATCCACTGCCCCTTTACATACACAGTTACCCTCATTATCAGCCTTCCTCACCTGAATGGTACCTTTTTTTCATCAAAAATGAACTTATGTTGGCATATCACAATCACCCAAAGTCCATAGTTTGGATAAACTCTGTAGGTTCAGATAAATTGGATAAAATGACATATAGCCATTATTATAATATTCGATTAAGAATCTCACTGCCTAAAAATCCTGTGTTCTGTCCATCTGTCAGAGGAGTGGAGATGATGTGGGATAAAGGAATAGAACTTTACCCCACTTCTGAAAATCAGCAATCTCTCATCTCCATAGTTTTCCCTTTTCCAGAGTGTTATTTAATTGGAATCATACAATATGTACTCTTTTCAGATGGACTTCTTTTATTTAAATTATATACATTTAAGTTTATTATATGTCTTGATAGCTCATTTCTTTTTAGCACTAAATAACATTCCACTGTCTAAATATACCATATAGTTTATGGAATCACTTACTAAAGAACATTTGATTACTTCCAAGATTTGTTAATTATGAATAAAGCTATTGTAAATATCTGTGTGTAGGCTTGAGTGAAAGCACTAAAATTTTCAGCTCCTTTGGGTAGATACTAAGGAGCATGACTGCTGAATTGTATGGTAAGAGTATGTTTAGTTTTGTAAGAAATTGTCCTCCATAGTGACACCATTTTTCAATCTCTTTAGCATTGTATGAGAACTTCTGTGGCTCTATATTCTCACTAGCATTTGGTGATGTCAGTTTTCTGGATTTTGTCCATTCTAATAACTGTACAGTGATGGTTCATTATTGTTTTAATTTGCCATTACTGATTATATGTGATGTGGAACATCTTTTCATGTGCTTATTTGCCATCTATATATCATTTCTGGTGAATTGTCTATTAAAGTTGTAACAGTTTGGTTGGTTTCTTACCATTGAGTTTTAAGAGTTATTTGTATATTGTGGATAAATCTTTTATGAAACATGTCCTTTATAAATATTTTTCTCTCACAGCCTAATGGATTATTTTTCAATTCTCTTGATGCTGCTTTTCACAAAACAATTTTTAATTAAAAAAAAAGATTTATTTATTTATTTATACATACAAGAGCCGAAGTATAGGTCAGAGATGCAGGGGTGAAAAGATTCACCAGAGTGAGGAACAAAACAGACAGATTGACTGAAGTACACTGCTGAGGAGAGCAGCAGGTGAGACAGGAGAGGTCTGCTGTGTAATGTGGGTCACTTCCCTAGCCAGAGATCAAACTTGTGATGCAATGGAAAGGATAGCTTCATAGTGCTGCATCTTAACCATTTATGCCACTATGGAGGCCCCACCAAAATTTTTAATTTTAATAAAAATCATTATCAGTTATTTCTTGCATGGATCATTTCTTTGATATTATATCTAGAAAGGAATCATCACACCTAATGCCATGTAAATATGTCCCTATGTTATCTTCTAGGAGTTTTATAACTTTGTTTAACATTTCTTCTATGCTCCACTTTGAGTTAATTTTGTGAAGGGGTAAGGTCTGTGTCTTTTTTGCATGTGGATTTTCAGTTGTTATAGCACTACATGTTGATGAGACTGTCTTTGCTCCATTATATTGCCTTTGATCCACTGTCAAAGAACATTTGATTATATTTATGTGGCTTTATTTTTAGGCTCTCTCTTTTGTTCCATTATCTTTTCGTGTGTTCTTTCACTAATATAATTGTCTTTAAAGTCTTTATTACCTTAGTTTTATAGTGAGTCTTGAAGTCAGGTAGTATTGGTCCACCAGTTTTGTTCTTTTTCAATATTGTATTGCCTATTCTGGATCTTTGGTCCCTCTATATAAATTTTATCATCAATTTTTCAGTGTTCATAAAGTAAACTACTAGGATTTTAATTGGGTAGAGTTGAGATCTTGGCAATATTGAGTATTTTAACCTCCCAAAATGGTGGACTTCTCTAGTTCCTTGATTTCATTCACCAGAATTTTTTTTATATTACTTTCTTCTCTTTGCTAACAATTTTTTAGTAAGGGACCTAAAAACAACAACAACAAAAACAGAACAACTCATGTTCTTTTTGCTACTGGCCAGTCACACTCTAAGAATGAAAGCTGGGTGTATAGCTTCCACCTTCCTAACTGGAAAGAAATCTTTAGCCTGCATCTTTATTCTTTTGCCTCAGTAGGCTGGTACTGATGGCTTGCTCCTAACTTGTATCTCTCCTCTATATTTCTGATTGCCTGTATCCTTTTTCTTCTAAAAAATGATTTGTTTTCACCTGTAACTTGAAAAGTAGGATTCTTTTCCAGTTTACGGCTGTGTTGTCTGTTTCATTTTGGCTTTCCCTGTGAGTTAGTTTATCCTTCATCTCCTCTTTCTTAGTATAGAACCTGATGCACAGTTCAACTTAGGTTGGTCTAAAGTTAATGAGGTAAACTATTAACCATATTTCAGTCATTACTACTAGTACTAATAATAGTAGCTGCTAATATTTGTCGAGTGCTTCCTATCATCTATGCTTTATGTATTATCTTAGTCCAACAATCTTATGGAGATGTTATGCCCAAACCATTCCACTAGTAAATAACGAAGCCAGAGTTCAAACTCATGTAGCCTAACTCACAGGCTATACTACGAATTACTTACTATAAAGTGGTCAAATCTGGAGGAAAAAAAATCTGTATTTTAAGGCCACAGACCCCTTTAAAAGCTATTCTTTACAACTAATGTCACTAGTTAGCTACTTGGGATATATGTTTATATACCAAACTGTTGTTCTGTTTTCTAAAAATATCTTGTTTATAAAGAAAATGCATGTAATAAGTTTCATTAAACATCCCCATTTAGGCTTTGCAGAGACTTTTGTTTTTCAATATATTTGTTCTTGGTGTTTTGTTTATTTTTCTTCAAATCCAGTGTACAAATAACAGCTGAGATCCCTTTTTGTGAATTAAATCAAGATGGAGCTTTATAATCATATCTTCAGATTTCTGCTTTGTCTGCTATATAAAGCTAAAAATCCATATTGGTAGTTGTTGCTTGGAAAATTTATTTAGGATCTTGGAATTGTATTATATTTTTATTTATTAAGTTTCCTTATGAGTTAACAAAGCCAAAGAAAAATGCCTTCCTTTAAAGAAAATAATAATGCAACCTTAGAATGGCTGAAAGAAATATCAAATCATTTTCAGGAACAAATTGTAAAATAAATATATTAATTTTTAATGTGTTAAACAATTTCCAGCTTGCATTTTTTTTTCTTTAAATCTGTTGCAGGGATAGGCACATTTAGTTTGCTTGCCTTTTCCCCATCTATATCTCTTTGTTTATAACATATATCCCCATCTTTTTACCTCACTCTTGCTTACAGTTACCCTTAGTATATTTCCTCAAGAGACATATAAATGCTTTCAGCTTTTAGGAATACAATTTTTTACTAGATTATTAACTAGAAGATATTTATTGAGTAATCTCACTGCTTGGTATGCTGAAATTATAATGACAAAAAAAGAAACTAGCAATTTATGACACATAGTATATATGACATTTCACCTACATCTTTCTTTTTTTTTTAATGTATAAGAAAACTTGATAAAACTTAAAAGCCACACATAGCTGGTATAAAATGTAGTTAAAATTTATACTAGTCAGTACCAATGATAATATCCTATGTCTAATTAGTTTACCAGAAAAGCATTTACTTATTGAAATGATACTAGGGTGTGACACAAGCCACAAAAAAGGGTCTAGATATACTTGTTTTGCAATGATAACTGCTACCAGGGACACTGAAATTGCCATTATTTTTATTTTTTTTAATGTGTTTCACTTTTCTTCCAATTAGTCTCCTGTTGGAATCTAAAGGAATGCTGAGTCTTTAAGTTCATAGTATAGAGTGATGACTGGGGTCGTCAGTTTCCTATCCTTGAATTGATAATCTTAACAATGGTAAGGTGGCTCACATAGGAAATATGATAAACGGAATCACATTTATTTATCTCCCTTTGGGAATAGCCCTATATTTATATTTATATACATATAAAATATATCATTATGGATAATTACATTACAACTTCTTAATAGTTGGGGAACAGGACCTATAAAATAAACAATGAAGTATATGAAGGCATGAAATCAGTGAGAGATAAAATACATTTTAAAGCAGTTATCACTTTAATTTGGGAATTCATAAAGACTTTTCATGAAGAAAAGGCACTTGATATGGGAAGATAAATTCACCTTGGAAATAACGAAGCAATTCCCAAATAAAGTAACAAGCATAAACAAAAGTGAGAATAAATGAAGCACTTGTGAGAAAATCAACTTGCAAGAATGCCCAGAATTTAAATTCTGCTTTATCCAGCTCCAAAACGTTTCTGTTGCTAGTTTTGCTAAATGACATACTGAATAAGCACTGCATGAAATTATCTGGGAAACTGAAAACCAGTTCATTTAGCAACCACTTAGTATACGTTTAAAATTAAATGGCCTAAAGTAATGGTATTAAAAAGAATGGTATGGCTGTAGGCAAAAATGGAATTGAAATAAAAGACGGTGGGAAGGTAACAGGTTAATATTAAAAAGGGAGAAGAATGTTCTGTATAATTTATTGATCTAGAAAATATAATTATGCAAGAACATGATTAGTGAGTTTGGGTGATAGAAAGCAATCAGAAGTGGTATGAAAACTAGGAAAGAAGTCAAAGATAGATGTTCGGGAGGACAATCTTAAACTTGATGTGCAACTGAAAGATGTGTGTAGTTGACTGAAACTTAATTAACTGCTTCACCAACCCCACGTGGTATGAAATAGGATGGAATTTAGGGTTTTTTCTGTTATTTGCAATCATTTAGTGTTTTATGTTTCCTGTATTGTCTCTCGTAAGTAAGCTATATACCCTTCAATAGTAGTCAAGCTATTTTTAGATTTAATAGCAGTTTGTGTTGGGTTCAAAGTGTGTAGTCAATAAATTACTTTGAAATGTTAAACATTTTCATAAATTATTTTAATACTTTTTATATTGCGATACTTTATGTAGCATTTCTAAAAGGTTTTAAATAATTGTAATTTATGAAAATACAATATCCAAACACAAAATAAATCTTATGATTTCCTTTGCTTGGAAACCTAATGTTTTTACCTTGTTCATCTAGTAACCATGTCGTATTACAGAAGATAACTACCTGTGAAATATTTTAAATTGTCCATTGCCTGTCATTTTAAAAGTAAAATACTTTAATGAAATAGCAAATGATCTAAAACAAAATTTTAGAACTAACATAATATACTTAAACTTCTCATATGTTGTACTTTTGGTTGTTAATAGAGTGAAAATGAAAAATATGAGCCATTTTCTTCTTTGCAAAAGTTTACAGCACTGATTTCTAAATTTGCAAGTGGGGTATTAAAGTATAAAGGTTTCAAATAACAGCATTAGTATTGATATGTTGGGATTAGAATTTGTTCTAGTAAAAGTCTAGAGATGCTTTAAGGTTTGTCAGAAAATGAATATTACTCATTCCTTAGTATTGCAAAATTACAATTTCTGATCTCTTTTCCCTCAAACCTCTAGTTCTAAATAGGTAGCAAGATGTAGCTTGGAGGAGAGGAGAGGTTTGACTAATATCCATTTATGCCCACCTTCCATACATACAAGCCCAGGGTACTGCAGAGTCAGAGAAAGATTGCTAATGTATGTATTTGACTAAGCTGTATTTTTGATATTTGTGTTTTTCTCATTTACAGGGAGTTGATTTTCATATGGAGTAAACTTCAGCTTAAGTCTAATCCTTCAAAACAAGTTTTTGTAGATCAATGCTACCAGCTTTTAAGAACAGCAACTAATGTGAGAGTCATATTTCCTTTCATGAAAATCATTAAAGATGAGGTAAATAGGATATATTTATCCCTTCATTTTAAATGAAATTTAAATATGAATCTCTTGATAAAATTTATTTATGAAATTAAAGTGAGGATTTTATGGCCATATTTTCCATAAACATTGTTTCCAACCCCCAACATCAAACTCTCAACATGGGGCAAACAGTATATATAAATGAAAATAAATGAAAAAGACCATAAAAAGGCCACTGTTGTTTTGCTTAAAATTTGAGGTGGTAACAATTGCTTCCACAGAAACTATAGTATTGTTTATTGTAATAAAATAATTCTGCCATGTTGAATATCTTAAGTCCTGTTTGTAAAATCTTAACTAATTTGCAAATGAACTATGTATATCTATAGATAATATCTGTTCAGAAAAATATAGTTCATTTTTAAATCCAGAGTTTAGGTGGTAAGCGTCAATTAATTTTGAGGTATTGAAACTTAAGGACACATTTTTAAGATATTTATTTGAAGTAATAGAAAAATTTTACTATTTAAAAATTTTTTCTGATACAAGTTTTTCATGGGCCACTTTCAAGTGAGTGCACTTATGCCTTTGACTCTTAACATAGACGTGATAGTACATCCTGCAGATCTTTTCTATTTTCCCCTCACACATCAACCAACTTTTTTTTTTTAAGATTTAATTTATTCGTAAAAGAACTGGGGTGCAGGCAAGAGTTGTGGGGTGAGAGGATTCACCAAAGACAGAGTGGGGAGCAGAATAGGCTGGTCTACTGAAACACACTGCTAAGGGGAGCAGTGGGCGAGATAGGAGTGGTCTGCTACACCATGTTGCTCACCTTTTTGACCAGGGATCAGACTAGTGCTGCAGTGACTGTGGATGGCTTAAAAGTGCTGTGACTTAAATCCCTTTTGCCACTAGGGAGGTCCACATTAACCAACTATTAATGCAAACACAGGAAAGACAAAGTTATCTTGCATTTTGGATAGCTCCATTCAACTGAATCATCATGTAAATTAAGTTCAAGTATATAAGGAAGCATCCATTGTATATATTTTTTTCTTATGTATTTATGCATTTATCACATCACTCATTAGATGACTTTGTTGTGATCTTATTTTCATATTAAGTTGGCAACACTATTGCTGTTTGTTTTGTTTTCCTATTTATTTTGCAAATAGTATTAATAGTTTTCTTATTATCAAACAGTAAAATGTTACTCAAGTGCATTATAAAATTTAATCTCTCACCATATCAAAAGGAGGGGAAAACTATGCTATATAATACTTCTCAACATTTGAGTACTATAAAACTTTTATTTTTTTAATGTGTCCATAAATGCAATCTTTACGTGGCTCCAATTTTTACCAAAAATTAAGAGACCTTATTTAATAAGATTATAATATAGATGATAGTTCCAGTAATTAGAACTTTTATTTTCATTATAAAAGGAAAAATTCAAAGGTGAAATCATTACAGATGTGCCTAATTGTTCACACTACTGACATTTTTAACTGACAAAATAAATAATTCACGTGTCTTCGTGAGAAGAGGCATTTAAAAATGCTGTGTGAGTTTAGCTATAATAGAGGGTATATTTATTTGAAAAGCCTTCACAAGAGAAATTGTTGGATTTTTGAATAACAGATAAGGATTTCAAACTAATATTTGTAGAGTTTTGTAGTTTACAGAGTACTCTTGCCTCATTTCATTAATTTGATTCTCACTTTTCAGTGATATTAATGTAATAGCACAGAAAAATAGGGGGAAAGGGAAGAGGGGACCTATATGTGGAAGATAAAAAAATATTCAGAGAGAGTGGGGTTGTTCTTAGATCCTAAAGGAACTTGAATGCTACACTTAAAGTTGGACTATCACTCCATAAGTAATACTGGAATCATTAAAAGACTTCAGGTAAGTCTAGTCCCCTTTTGTGATGATCTTGTTATTTTAAACATGGGTACTTGGGTGCATTATAATTTTGGGAGTCAATGTAGAAGACAGAATTTTGAAGAAAGAGAAGGAGTAATTCTGAACTAATGAGTTTTGAATTGGCCATATCTGAGAAAATCTAGGTGCAAATAGCTAATTGTATGAGGAAATAAGACATTTTAATTCAGAATAGGGTTCCAACTTGGAAATGATAGATTTATAACAAAAAATGAAAGTCAGTGTACTAGATCAGATCCCACTCATTCTGTGAACATTTATTTAGAATTCACTATATACCAGCTTACCACAGGAGGATACAAAAAGAAAAATACTATGCCTGTGATTTAAGAATTCAAAGAGGTAGAGACATACATAGATAGTTAAAAAACAACATGTACATGCTTTTTACAAATTAGTAGAAGTTACTTTCAAGTGGAAAGAACAGTAATTTTTAACTTTACCATAGGACTGACCTGATAAATGACAAAAAAAATGTTTATAGTGTAGCTGATTCTTTAAAGAATTAATAGGAGATGGTCAGGAGTTTACTGGTCAACTGGTGGAACTGCAAGTCGTTAGAATCACACAGCATAAGGTAGGATGGCAAGATAGTATTGTCATTTATAACATTCTATTTATAGGATGACGTAACACACACACAACTTTAAAAAGACATATTGTATCTTTCTATTCAAACTGGCATTTAGATTTTTATAAATCACTGAAGATATTATTTATACGTTTAATTAAGGTGGATAAGCAAATTTCCAAGTAAAAGCTGATATAGTTATCTTTGAGCCATAGGTAAAAGTTTCAAAGCTTGAAACATTTTCAGAAGGTAATTTACTAGTAGGCTCATTATTGCAATTATTGTAATGACACTTTTCATGTGGGGCACATTACTTCCCTTATAAGTTAAATTACTTAAAGCAGTAAAGTAATATAGTTTCATGAAAGCTGCTAACATAATTTAACTCTTCTGCCACAGAATGAGTGATACTTAAAATAATAAACAGGAGGCTTGATTTTTTAGACAGCTTAATCACTAAGCTTAGAAAGCATTTTGTATTTTAATCAACATAAGCTTAGGACGCATTTTGTATTATGTTCAATAGGACCTGTCAAACTTGATTATTAAACAAATTGGAAGTTAAGATGGCATCTTTTCCAGATTCTGTTCAAGTTAAAAAAGAAATTTATGTCAGATGTCTAAAAAGTCAAACAAGGCTACCCACTGAGGAAAACTGCACATTAGGAATATTGTATTTGTTTCAGTTGTATTTTAAAAAATCAGTTAGTATAGTAATCTTAAAAATATTTAATAATAGTGTTTTTCTTTTTACAGGTTGAAGAAGAAGGCTTACAAATTTGTGTTGAAATATGTGGTTGTGCTTTACAACTAGACCTTCATGATGATCCCAAAACTAAATGTCTAATTTATAAAACAATTGCACATTTTTTGCCAAATGATTTGGAGATTCTCAGGATTTGTGCACTCTCAATATTTTTCCTTGAGCGTTCTGTGGAAGCTTATCATACTGTTGAAGAACTTTACAAACATCCAGATGAAGAATATAATGAAGGAACAAGCAGTGTTCAAAATCGTGTTCGTTTTGAATTACTTCCAATTTTAAAAAAGGGATTGTTTTTTGATCCTGAGTTCTGGAACTTCGTAATGATTAAAAAGAACTGTGTAGCATTACTGAGTGATAAGTCAGCAGTTAGATTTCTAAATGAAAGTACACTGGAAAATTCTATAGGTAATCTAAAAAAGGCAGCAGAACGGCATGATTTTGATGAAGGATTTGACTCTCTTATAGATGAGATCACTGGAGAGTTTGATCCTGATGATATATCTGGAATGCAACCTAAAGATCATATTAATACAAAGAAAAACCTTACAGCTCTTAATACTTCCAAAGTAGATCACAATGTCCCAAGGCACCGTTGTATGTTATGTAACAAGGAATTTCTAGGTGGTCACATTGTAAGGCATGCCCAGGCTCATCAAAAGAAGGGCAGTTTTTCATGTGTAATATGTGGGAGAAAATTTAGAAACAGAGGACTTATGCAGAAGCATTTAAAGAATCATGTTAAGAAAATACAGAGACAGCAAATTGCAGCTCAACAGGAGGAAATTCCAGCTTTGGAAGAAATACAGTGTTCTAATGCTTTCATTTCATTTGAAAATGGGAATTCTGATAATAAGGATTTGGAAGTAGAAATTATTACTGATTCCAATGATGGAAACAAAGAAGTCATTCCTGCACATGTGAGAGAATTCATTGAAATCCCTGTAAGTGTATCAGAAGATGTCATTGAAAACATCATTGAAAATGGTAGTCCTGATACTTCTTTAAATACTGTCTCTGAGCCTTTACCTATATGTGAGGACTATGAAGAGGACGAGGATGAAGAAGGTGATTATGAAGAAGATGATTATGACTTAAATCAAGAAACTTCAGTACTTCATAAAATTAATGGAGCTGTGTGCCATCCAAAAGACATATATGCTACAGATCAAGAAGGGAACTTTAAATGTCCTGCTCTTGGTTGTGTCAGGATATTTAAAAGAATTGGATTTCTAAATAAACATGCAAGGACTGTACATCCAACTGATTTAAATGTGCGACAAACAGTAATGAAGTGGAGCAAAGGAAAATGCAAATTTTGTCAAAGGCAGTTTGAAGATTCTCAACATTTTATAGATCACCTTAATAGACACAGCTATCCAAATGTGTACTTCTGTTTGCATTTTAACTGCAACGAGTCATTTAAGCTGCCATTACAGCTTGCTCAGCACACAAAAAGTCATAGGATATTTCAAGCTCAGTGCAGTTTTCCAGAATGCCATGAGCTTTTCGAAGATCTTCCTCTGCTCTATGAACATGAAGCTCAGCACTACTTAAGTAAAACACCAGAATCATCTGCCCAACCAAGTGAAACAATTCTTTGGGATGTTCTTACAGACTCAAATCCTAATCATCAGGAAACAGACTCATCTAGTAATGAGAAACAAACTGTTAATCTGCCAGTTTCTACTAGCAAATTAAGGAAAGACTCTACAGAACCAAAGATGTGTACAGAAAATACGGAAAAGAAAACAGACAGTTTAGTTCAGAATGGAAAGGAACATTCTGATGACACTGTTTCTGATAAAAGCTTGACAGACCAAAAGATGCCTAACATTGAGCCAAATCCTGAAAATAATAGTATTATTAATGACTTAGTCAATGGACACAATGGAAGAGAGCAGACACCTTTGGTTTCATCAGATCTTGCTTTGAAAAGTGATACACATAAAATGAGGACAGAAAATGGTTCCATCTTACCCAATGTTGTATCACAAGAACACACTACTCTGCCAGTATCTCAGGCACCTTCCAAACCAAATCTGACAAGTGAACATACTTCATATGGCTTAATTTTAACAAAGCCATATGTTAGGCCATTGCCTCCCAGTTACCTTGATGAACGGTACCTTAGTATGCCAAAACGCAGAAAATTTCTGACTGATAAAGTAGATGCTTGTTCTGATCAAGATAATGTTTGTAAAAAACCGGTGAAAAGGTTAAGATGTGGCAAATGCCTGACCACCTACTGTAATGCAGAAGCACTTGAGGCTCACCTTGCACAAAAGAAATGTCAGACACTCTTTGGATTTGATTCAGATGATGAAAGTAAGTCTTCTTTCAGTAGTATACCTGTAGATATAGAAAATGCCATTGATTTTTATGAGATTAAAAAAATTTACATTTGTATAGCACAAATAATTAAGCACTACCCAATACAGGATTTCCTTTAATCCATACAGTCACTAGGAGGTGGTACTACTATTCCTGTTTTACAACTAAAGAAAATGAAATTCACAAGTTAAGTAATTTGTATAGGAACAAGTCTATAGGGTTGTGGAATCCAACTAGAATATAGGTTTCTCACACACTTTAATGTTTCTGAGGCTTTTCTTCATTCCATGTATACAAGTTCTAGGTATAGAAATTCAAGAAATGAAATAATTACATTGTAAATGTTATTTGTACGCCAAAATATAAGCCAAGTGAGGTTGAGCCTCTATTTTAAAAAAGGAAGTAAAAAGTCAGAAAATAATTGAAAGTAATGAACTTGTCTTTTTACTCTATCATTGTTTTAGCAAGTAAGGGTATAAATTAAAAAAGAATCTGATTTAGAATTCCAGCTGAACTTCTATAAAATTTGAATTAACAGAGGTGTTCTATTTTACAGGTGCCTGATAAAAATGTTTCAGAAAGATCTGTCGATCAAGCAGTAGTGTGAAAAAAGCACTACAAGAAAATGAATCATCAATTTGCTATTTCCCTGATGGCCTTAAATTTAGAGCGGTCTTGGATTACTAAAGATAAAGACAAAGCACATTTTCTAGAATGAATTCACTGAAGAGATGTGCTGGTATAGACTCCAAAAGGGTTATGACAAAACTCCCAAAGTACCAGTTATCCAGAAAACCACACTTTAAAAAAGTTGATGATTAATAGCAGCATGATCATATGTGACACGTATGTGGGAAATATGTTCAGGCTACTAGTCAGAAGATAAACCAGCTATGGCCTTACAGAAAGGGAAAAATTAATCCATTATATAAAAGGGTTGGTGGTGGTTTATAATAAACAACTTAAAGCATTCTACAAATGGAATTTGTTTTTTTGTCATGCATAATCATAGTTATGTCTTCCTTTCTGGTCAAACATGGACTAAAGAACCACTACTCGGTTTATAATTTAGAAAATGGTATATGGAAATAAAATTATTTATGACCATGCTATCTGGTGGTCTGATATAAACTGTTTACAGATGATTGAATACATCAAAAGTTCAATTAATGGCATGCCAGCATTGGAAATATAAAAAACAAAACAAAACAATGATTTGCTTAATAAGCTCTTGATAAATCTTCCACTTGCCATTTTTACAATACAAATGAGTTAATTTAAAAGGTATCAATGTCAATTAAATAGAAAAAGTACCAACAGCAAGTAATTGGGGAGAGATGGGAGGAATCTAAAACCATTAAAGGCTATTGAGTTGAAAAGAAACACTGAATTGCAAATTCCTCAATGTGAATAATGGTATAAGCACACTGGGATATTTCTATTTGTATATAGAGTAGTGTGAGGACATTGATAATTCATAGTAAAGTCCTTCAGACATTAATATGAGTTATCTAAGTACAGTCTTATAAAAACAACTGGTTATAAACAATGTCAGCTAAAGAATCAGGTCAAGAATTCGATAGTTTTAGTCAATTAGAAGAGTTAATCCTAAAGCCATATTATTTATTAGTAATGATTTTGGTCTCAGTAATATTTATATAAGAAATATTTACACAAACATTTGCTTATCAAAAACACAGTAAGACATTATGATACATTTATTTTCCTTGAAATCCAGTACTTTTCTTGAGGAAGATTTTAACTTATTAGTCTTACATTTTTTTAAATCATTCTTTGAAATGCCCTATCAGATGTTTTCCACTTTAAATACCTTCTTTTACCTAAAGACATGTTAACACAATAGCAAGGATACAAGGGAACTCTTTAAAAATGGAGTTACTGATATACCAATGTCAAGTAAATACTCCATTTATTTCAAATTATATATTTTTGTTCAAAGCAGATAATCTTATCAGATCCTTCTATTATAAATCTTTGGACATAAAACTTCCTGAATAAATTTACCAAGGAAGTGGGCAATGGGACATTTCCTTATGGGTAGCATCCAGACTATATTAAATTAAGATTTCCTAGCTATGGCAGATCAGAGATTTAAATAAAATTTCTCCAGTGTTATTAATTTTTTTATCATGAGCATTCACTACTATGCAATTTATATTCATAAATCCATTTCAGTCAAATTCAGGTTTTATGTAGCCTACATTAGGCTGTGGAATTAACATTTAAATAAAAGCTAAGTAAACACAACAGATTTTTAAATCATGTAAGGTTAACTAACAATATTTCCCATACTTCCTAATACTAAAAATTTAATACTTGTGTTCTATTCATTCAGTCTGAAAGTACATCAGATAATAAAACATCTATTTGAAAACTATCTCATTTGGACAATTATGGTTTTTTTTGACATATCATTTCTTTGTACATTTTCCATAATTTTAGAATTACAGCTTAATGTTTTATAATTTTCAACTTTTTCCCACAAGTTGTAACTATTAACTCAGCTCTACGCCCACAAATTTTCATTAATTTTACAGTTCATATCAAGATGTTTTACACATACTGCAGTTTTTTGGTTTTTTTTTTTTTGCCTTTAATTTGTGATTTTATTTGTGTGCTAACGGAAAGCTGTTTCTGAAAGACAGATCAAATTGGTTTAGGTCGAACTAAAAGGAATATTTTATAAAATTCTGTTTGTCCACACAGTCCTAATCTCTCTATACACTTTTCCAATAGCTATAGAACATGTGTACATCTTACTATGTATGTCTTATACAAATTTATATAATTTTATTTTTATGGGGTGCATAAACTTGCAACAGTTCTGATTTGGAAATCAAACAAAAAGGAAGTTTTCTTGGCAAATCATTATTTTTTCCCCTGCTTCTATTTTGAGGATGTTCTTATCTTACATGGGCCAGGTTTTAGTGCTTTATTTTAAATAAAAATTTCCTTCAAACATTAATACTAATTTTCTGCTATGTTCTGTAAGGTCAAGAAAAATAGCAAGTCTAAATTTTAGCTGCTCAGAGGATGCAGAAAAGAGGACTCTGTGGACTAGGACACTGGTACTTTGGGCTTTAGCCATATTCATTTCTTTTTTAGACCACCAATTATATAATAAGTACATAAATTATAGCATTGAACTCGTGATTCTTTTCAAATCACACTTGAAGTTTCAGCCGTACTCCTTTCATGTTTGGTTTAAACTGTTGTATGGATGAAAAGTCTAAAAGGGATGATAGTGTTTATTTTTTAATTTATTTGGTACTGTAAAACACCTCTTCAGAATGACTAAATGCTGCACATGCATTTTGGAACTGTTAATATGTGAAAGATATAAAAGATTCAGCAAGAAAGGAAATTTGTGCTTCCTTGTTGAACATTAAATTATTTTACTTTGCATTTTATAAGAGTACAAATTAAAACTGAGCCATTGAACTGCAATAAATCAACAATAGTGTCTCATTTCAAGAAATTTTTTTGTACTGTACATAGATTTGTTCAATAAAACATTGTCCTTGTTGGTAATGAAGTGTTCAGTTTTATGTAGCACAATGCTTCAATTCAAAAGGAATTAGGCTTAAGGCATATATTGCATATATTAAGTTAGAAATTTCTATTATGTCTCGTTGTAAGAGTATGTCAGTTAATATCAGAGATTTTTTCTGCATAAAAGAACTGGGGTGTAGGCCAACGGTGCAGGGGGTAAGAGAAATCACCACAGAAAGAATGGGGAGCAGAAAGGTGGATTTACTGAGATACACTGCTAAGAGGAGCAGCAGGTGAGACAGGTCTGCTCTGTCTCAAAAGTTGGAGACTAACCCATATATGGGTTAGCTTCCTGGCCAGGAGTCAAACTCAGAGCACTAAGACATAACCCACTGTAGACATCATTTTAGCAAAGATTTGTATGCAGGAATTACACATTGCTAGCATACTGGTTACTACTAAAGTCATTTCAGGTAAATGGATTCAATATGATATAGTACTTAGTCGATGGAAGACAAGTATCAGAGATATTCAAAAGCAAAAGAGTAGGCAGATCTACACTGGTAATTTTGAAGCACTTGTAGTGGAACTTTAAGAAATCACTTTGAACTTGGTTGTAAAGAATGAAAATCACTCACAGAACCATTTCAATGGAGAAATGTTTAACCAACTAATTATCTACAAATGAAGTCCTGGGCCCAAAGGTTCCTACTTAAGATTTACAAAGGAAACTATTTGCTATAACTTGCAGCTAAACAAAATTGGGATTGAAATAGGAAAAAACTCTTACATATGTTGAGTTCCTACTGCAAATGAAAGGATAGGTTAAATGCAATGATCTGCAAATATTACAAACATAATGCTTTGAAAACTATACAAGGCAGTTATTAAGCATTCCAGAGCTGAGATCTAGAAGTCTCGGTATATGATTTATGGTTTTATGATCTTAGACTATTAGGCAGATATACTAAGGTGTCTGGATGAAGTTATTGGGGGCGGGGCTCTAGACTACTTTTCTGAAATGAGCAATTCTGGGAAGCGGTCAGGTATTAAGTATACTTTCAAGCGAAATTCTTTTCATAGTATATAAGATCCATAATTTGAAGATACCAGGAACAGAAGTTTTGGCTATATATCAAGATCAGAAAGGGAGACAATCCAATTTAATATGGAATAAAAATGTTTACAAATGGTAAAGAAGTTTATGCCTTACTATAGATGCTGCATACTATGTATCAATTACTTTATATCGGTGACCTCTATCAGAGCAACCTGAAAGGTAGAGATAAACTTTGTTTTTTAGGTATCAGGGCTCAGAAAGCTAAAATCACTCCACTAAAGTCAGTTATTAAAGTGGAAATGAAAAACCAAATCTGTCTTACAATCATAATGGCAATTAGCTTCCATTGTTTCATACAGTTTTCCATAGAAACCTAGTGGACCTAAACAAATTTGTAACAAAGAAAAAGGTCAGGTTTGCCTGAAGATCAATGATTTCATAGACAAAGGACTACAGGTAGCTGACATTTCATTACCTTCACAATAATTCTTACAGTGTAGTTCCAAAGGAGCAAAATCCTGATCACCAAAAAACTTGTTAGAAATGTTATATTTTGGTGGGGTGGGGACCAATCTGTCTTAAAGATCTCCAGGTGAAATAGGTTTGAAATCCACAGATTTTAAGCAACAAAGTTCTTAATGATTTCCCAGAGAGTAAATGCCTCTCTAAAATTCATACCCTTGTATTAGAAGTTCCCTATTAATAAGGACTTAACTACTGCTGGGTAAATTGATATTTTAATGGGAAATAATAAACAAACCACTATAACCTATGGAATTTTTTTCTGAGAGTATTCAGTAAGTGAAACTAGTATCACTTAAGGGAACCACTAAAGAGGTATTGGAAAACAATTTTATTCAAGATACATTTATATTTGTAGAATTTTAAACAGTTAAGTATGTCCCACTGAACTCAAAACTTCTACAACTGCTGAAGGAGTTGTTTTTGCAAGCTTTTTAAGCATGAAGTCTCTAGACCTTGCTGAATCAGTCTGTCAGGATTTTACCAAAATTTTTTTTCAGGTTATAGTTCTGTTTTTGGCTGTAGCTAAAACAGCCATGCTATTTCCATCTCTGTCCCCTACCCCCATTCTTCATTTAATTCTTCTTCCAGCGTTACCAGTCTCTCTGGAAAATGGGTCACTCTGGATAGCTTATGACCTCTCCTTTGAATCCTACTCCTCCCCGCCTTCCTCCTCGTAATTCCAATTGCCTAAACCAAACCTTTATTACTCAGTTATCAAGTCCTCTTCATTAACTGAAGCCACCATTTTCTCTCACATCAGGCAATTACAGTAATTGCCTACTTTGGACCCCTGTCTCGACCCTTGACTTTTCCAGTCTGTTTTGACCAACAGTCAAAATGATTCTGAAATCACTGAAACAAATCCTTGCTATTCCTCATTTTAAAATCCTCTATTGGCTTTCCAACTCATTCAATAAGTATTTATTGCATACCTATTATGCACCAAGCTCTGTAACAGGGAATTAAAAAAAAAAAAAAAATGAGGCTCACAGAACTCATGTGTTACCAGAAGGCAACAAACACAGTATAGGAGCTATGAAGAAAGGTGGGTAGAAAATTATCAGGAAGCATGGAATTGGTGGTAGTGATTTAAACAGGGCAATGAGGGAAGGCCTCCTTGATAAAGTAAATTTTCTCCCTACATGAATTGAACAGGGGAAAGATAGCCATTCACATATCTGAAGAAAGAATTATGCCAAGCAAAACAACAAGGGGCTCAGAGATCTCCATGGTAAATTTAAGGAACAAAGAACATGGGGACCAGTATAGCTAGTCTGTAGTAAAAGACTGAAAGAATAACAGAAAATGAAGACAGGTGAAAAGTAAAAATCAAAGTCCTATTTATAAATAAGTTTGTAAGATTCTGATTTGTACTATGTAGTAAGTTAGCTATAGCTTCATGCGGTTATTAAAACAATTAAAATTCAAATCAAATTTAAAATTCACTTTCTCAGTATACCAGCCACATCATAAGAGTTCAAAACCCACCTGTATTGGGAAGCACAGACAGATAACATTTTCACCATCTCAGAAGGCACTATGTTAGTGGTCTCTACCTTCGGTGAGTTAACAAGTTGTAGCTATTTTTGGTAGTCACACAGGTACCCACAAAGTGTAAAAGATGCTACTGGCATCTAGTGGATACAGGGTAGGGGTGTTGATAATGTGTAGGACAGCGCCCCACAAATAAGAATTACCCAGTTCATAATGTCAAAAAACTGTCACTGCTGGCAAACTCGGTTGTAGATCAGTCTTGACTGAAATTCTAACTTCATTACGTCTTTGTACATGCTGCATCACCTCCTGTCCTCCTTCCTATTTGCCAAACATTTCTTTCCTCTGTAGAACCCATACTGTTTCTTAGGACGGTATTCTGTGGCTCACTCTCATTTTCTTCTAGTCTTTCCTTCAATGTCACTTAGAAAAGCCTTTCTTGACAGCCTCTATAAAATGGCAACATCCTCCCTCTTAAGCTATTTTCTCCATAGCATTTCCTGGCAGAATGTATAGTTTTTTATGCTTATTGTAACTGTTTCCTTCCACTAGAACGTAAACTCCAAAGGACTGGCATATCTTCTCAACAGAGTAACTGGTAAGTAGCTTGGTAATATATTCATATTTTAAAAAATGAAAGAAAAAGCTGAGTATTACATCCATGTAGTCCAGCACCTGAATTAGGGGCACTTACCTGACATTGCTACTTGCAACACTCCCAAGAGTTCCTTGAAGAAGGTTCTTGTCATTTCTCAGAATCTTCAATACCTAGCATAGAAGACATACATTACCGATGCTTAATGAAAAATGAAGAACTGGTATTTGTTGAGTAAATGATACCTCAATTAACATCCACCGGCAAACTGGTTCAATGATGTTACGAAAGTCTTGTTTTAAAGGTATCGACAGTGTATTTTACGACTAATATTTAGCTTTTGATATCCCTTTAATCAGCGGACGAGCACATTTAAGTGACTAAGTGATAATACCCTCATGAAATGCTAAGACATCTGAAATATGGCCCCCAAAATGGAGAGAAGCAGGTGACAAGTCTGACTGCTCAAGCAGGCTTAATTTAGCAGAGAATAACCATTTCCGTCTCGTACTGTGTATTGCTGTCATAATAATTGTCATAGTAATTGCTAACACATATTAAGCTCTTTCTAGGCTCCAGAACTGTTTCTGGCCCCACCCACTCAGCACCCCTGAGGTTGGTATCTCTACTAGATTTACGAAACCCATTTGCAGATGATCGTCAACACAGGAACAGAAAGGCTGCGGATCTTGCCCACGGTCACATTTAGTAAATGCCGCCGCAGAATCCCAGAAATCTGGCTTCGAGACTCCCCAACTTTAATCTGCTCACAACATCGCCTTGCTCAATGCCAAGGCGGAGAGGATCAGAATGGAAACATTTCGATTCCAGCTTGCTTTAGTCAGCACAGTATAGGTAATTTTCACCCCTTAACTTTATGTTAACCAACGCCAAAATATAGCACAGAACAATGTAATTTAAGGGCACCAAACTGTAAATTCACCCAGTGCCAAAAGTGACCACTGAGGACGTTCGAGCGCCCAGGGGGCCGGGCCGCGGGAGGAGGTGGCGCCTCCATTGGCCCGCCCCGCGGCATCACGGGAGCTCGGCGTGCGTGGGGTGAGCGGCGGCCGCCGTTTCCACGCACCTGCACTTGCGCAGTCCTCCCAGGCACTGTTTTTTGGAGTAGGGATCCCTAAGGACTTCAGGTCTCCGCTGACCGCCACCAGTTCGCTGGTAGGAGGTCGATGTTTTCCACGTAAACGCGGTGCTTCCCGAAAGGGAGATCTGTGGGACTCTGCCTCGTCCCGACCAGCTCGGAACGACAAGTCCGCGCTCCGCGTTTCCACAATTTACCTCTTCGGCGATCACTTCCGCCCAGGGGTCTGGAACACCGGAGGCCCTTTGGCGGCGAACTTCGAGAAAGGTACTTCCGGTGTCTGTTGCCAAGGCGCCAGCCCCGTGGGCCCGAAGGGGCGACATTATTGGTTTCGCCCTGATCCCCCTTCCCGGGGGTCGAGATGTCGGGGCTCAGCTGCACAGAAATGAAGGGCTGTCAAAACCTGCTAAGCCTACTGGACGACGAGGAGATCAAGGCCCTGTGCGACACCGTCACCAACCGCCTAGTGCAGCCAGAGAACCGCCAAGGTAAGGGTGAGCTCGGGGTCACCGGCCCGGGGCTGCGGGGTCCTGGGGGTGGCAGGATGCGAGGTCTTCGCCGTCGTCCCGGACCACGCTGGGGCGGAACCCTTGGCAATCTGGGGCTGTCGCGGTCGCCAGGCTGTGAGGCCTTCGGCGTCTCCCCTGGAAGGGGTGGGGGAATTGAATGTCCCCTGAATGTTGTGTGGTCAAAATGCTTGTGTTTTGAAGATTCAGAATATGGAAATAGTAGCTTTTTCGAAATTTCCAGATAGCCAAGGTATTTCCCTTTTTCATTTTCGATTCCTAGAGGCGTGTCAGCCGCTTTTTTTTTCAGCCCAGGAAGAACAATTATTCTAGGTAAAACGACGTACAGTATAATAAAGAGCGGAGAGTTTGACTCCTTATCTCTTTTTACGTTCATTTTTTTTTCCCCCCTGATAGGACTTTGTGTAACAGAAACACAATACCGAGTGTCAAATACTTCAGAAGATTTCAAGGGCTTTTAATAATTTAGGTCGGTGGTTAACTACAACAGTTCATATAAAAATGTGAAATAAGTAACATCGTTTTGTAAATTCGATAGCTAATTATTTTTCTTATTTTAAACATGCAGAATTTTATGCTAAAATGTGAAAATCCAGACACCCATGTTAGTATTTGACTTCAGTACCTACACGGCTCCGCCTTCTAAAACCGTGTTTCATTCTGGAAAACATGTTTGACGTTATCTCCTAAAATGAAGGACTTGCTTACTTCTAGGCATGTATTTTAGAATTGAACTTGGCAAACTTTAATGTGCTCATGAATCTTTCAGAGATCTTAACTAAAATTCACATTCTGATTCAGTACTTTTAATGTGGCCCCATAAATCCAGGGTTTTTTCATGCTGTCTCTCTCCCTTGTGAACGTCATGAACTGCTCATGCTATTTTCCTTTCTGTGAAGTGGGAAGCACTCTGAAAATGTTGGAAGTTAATAGTGTTTTAATTGGATACATACAGTAAACATCTGTAAACAGAAGGAGAGCTAGCTGCCTGTGATGTAGCTATGGAACAGGAATATCTCAGGAATAAATGAAAATTTGATTATAGAAGGGTATATATTGAACATTCAAAAAAAATTTAAAAATACCAAATTGTTTAGATGTGTGTACTTAGACTTTTCAGCAATGAAAAAATTAACTTAGGGCCATTGGCATTACTAGAGAAAAAATTTTTTTGCTCAGGCTTAATTTTTTCTTCTTAAAAAGAAATGCTGACATTACAGTCTTATAAGAAATGAAGAGGGAATTTTAAGTGAGAAAGTTTAAAGCAAAAGGAACTTTAAAAAAACCCAAAACCAGACAACATCCTGTTTTTATAACATGTTCATCTCATGCAAAAACAACAATGCCAGTGTCTATAAATATTATTTGATAGAATTTCTGCTGATTCTGAACAAATTTACAAGAAACTCATGATTTCCTATTAATTTTTACAACTTTTTTCTAGATGCCATTCATGCAATATTAGTGTATAGTCAAAGTGCAGAAGAACTTTTGAGGCGTAAAAAAGTCCACCGAGAAGTCATATTTAAGTACTTGGCAACACAGGGGCTTATTATACCTCCAGCTACTGAAAAGCATAATCTTATTCAACATGCAAAGGACTACTGGAAAAAGCAATTACCACTGAAATTGAAGGAAACACCAGAGCCAGTTCAGACACAGGACATTAGATCTTTTCAACAGGTAAAGTAGATCTTATATAATACCCTCAATGTATAGCTTTCTGAAACTCTTGAAATAATCTTACTTTGGGTTGACATGGTTAATAATATTTTACTTGTGTTTTATCATTTTAACTTTGCATCAGATCCTTTGCATCCAGTAAACTAAAAGAAAATATTCCTGACATTTATTGATATATATAAAATAATCAGTTGATTTGTGAGAAAAAAACATTTTTATTCCTGTATCAAAAGAGGACTATTGGATTTTTAAAGAGAATGAATAAACTGTAGAATCAAGTTAGTTCTCATTTAGCTTCTAGTTCTCTAATTTTTCCCATGGTAAAGGAATGCAGTTCTAAATCCATTCTCATCTTGAAGACTTCTTTGGTATTAGATTATAAAAAATTCATGGTAGAAATGTAAGTATGTTTTACAATTGACTTTTTTTTTTTTAAGTTAGAAAAAAGCTGTGTAGTAATTCCTCTGGATGATGCTGGCTATTCCTATTTGTATCTTCACGGTACATTTTAAAAACTGTTTGAATATTTAAATATTGATTGAATAAATTCAAATTTTCAGATTTTTAAACTACACACCATATACTTTGAGTTAATGTTTTTACAGTTTGAGTTGCTTCATATTGGTGAAAAATCTTTTTTTTTTTAAAGATTTATTTATTTGCTCATACAGAACGGGGTACAGGTCAGAGGCTCAGGGGCGGCAAGAGGCTTGACCAGAGATAGAGTGGGGAGCAGAACAGGCAGATGGATGAAGTACATTGCTGAGGGGAGCAGCAGGCGGGTCAGGAGAGGTCTGCCACACCATGTGGTCACCTCCGGGGCAGTTGGGAATCGAACTCATACGAAGTGTCTTTAGCTTCTCAGTGCTGTGCTTTAACCCGCTGCGCCACCAGGGAGGGCCTTGGTGAAAAATTTTTTAAGAACTTTCTAATGTACTGAAAAGAATGTTGACTGAAATCATACACATGTGATTTCAAGTTAAGGTCTGCTGTTTACATATGTATAAGCAAGTAACTTGACCTTGCTGAGCCTTATTTTCTTATATTTAAGACATGCATAGTGTCTTTACCAGAAGGCATAGAAGAAAATAGCACCTCTGTACAGTACCCATGATATTTAGTAATTGATGCTCAATAAATATAAGGTCTCTTGCCATTTAAATGACAGGTTATAATGTTCTGGTGTACATACAAATAAAATCTAACCTGTCAAGGTTTTTTAAATGCATTAACATTTACCTTAAAAAAAAAAAAGTATGACAGTCCTAGAAGATAATCTGTTTCAGTTATATGAAAATTATCTCTTTAAAGACATTCTTAACTTATTAAGATTATTGTGGTATAATTTACATGCAACAAAATATACCATTTCAAGCTTACATTTTGGAGGTTTTGATTTTCAAGCAAGAGAAAAATGTCTATGTAAATCATGATGATTCTCTGTTCATATTGACTGTTAAGAGGCTTTGTTAAACCTTAATTTTTTTTTCTGAATTTTCAAATGTTTAAACTGGGAAATTCTTAAGTGAATTTTCCCATTTTGAGATAAGAAATCACTATGCATGGTGGACACAATGAATTCACACTTTAACCTTTCCCTCTTAATATCAGTACACTGAAATTTAGCTCTAAAACAGACCAGCCTGAAAAGTAGATATGATGGTTAATCTAGGTGTTGTTTATGTTCATTATATATTTTTCATGTAGGAGGAAAAAGAAGATAAGAAAGCTGAAAAAGTTGATTTTCATCGATTAGGAGAAGAATTCTGTCACTGGTTCTTTGAACTTCTTAATTCTCAGAATCCTTTTCTGGGACCACCTCAAGATGAATGGGGGCCACAGCACTTCTGGCATGATGTCAAGCTTAAGTTTTATTACAACACATCTGAGCAGAATATGATTGACTACCACGGAGCAGAAATTGTGAGCCTCCGTCTGTTGTCACTAGTGAAAGAAGAATACCTTTTTCTCAGTCCCAACCTAGATTCCCATGGACTAAAATGTGCTTCTTCCCCACATGGTCTGGTTATGGTTGGAGTTGCTGGTACTGTTCACCGAGGAAACACTTGTTTGGGCATTTTTGAACAAATTTTTGGACTCATCCGCTGCCCTTTTGTGGCAAATACTTGGAAAATCAAATTTATCAATCTGAGGATTATTGGAGAGAAGTCCCTTGCTCCTGGAACATTAACAAAACAAGCTATTCCATTTGAACCATGTGAAATTGAGTCCTTTTATAATGTAGTCACTTTATGTGGTACCAGTGAAGTACGACTTAATGTAAGGCAGGCATTGGATGGTGGAAATGGAGACCAGTCTTTGTGTAGTGGAAAAGAGGCCTTATTGAATGAAAAGGAACTGAACTTACCCAATCCTTTAAAACAATGAGCACTATATGTCAGTCTAAAAAAATCTATACAGAAACTTCCAAATACTGTATGGTAATATCTAAGTGAGTTCAGGTGTGACAATTGACATATTTTAGTTGAAATCTTTTTTGACTACAAACTAATGTGTGAATATTTGCCTATTTCTACCATAGTTACAGCAAGTGTTCTAAATGCTTAATACAGTTCATCAAATAATTCTGCTGTACATGTTATAACTAATGTTGTGCCTTAGAAACCAGGTAATGTTTTACTTTAGTGAATATTTTGTCAAAATCTGTATTTCTCAAATGGGAAAAGATGACTAGTTTTGAAGTCATTTCCTTTTTTAAGTATCTTATTTACTTTAAATCTAGATACCTGTAAATGCAGCTCATGATAAAATTACTCAAAAATTGCATAGTATACATGTTTAATATAAGACTCAAATTATTCCACTTAGAAAACTTGAATGACAGTCTTATGCAAAAGCAGGTGGAGAAAAATTCACTTCACCTCTTAATATTTCAGAAAAAGTTTTAAAGTTATCTACTAAAGTCCAAGTGAAATGTGTTAAAATTTGCAACATTTTCTTAACCTTTTTGGGCAGTGATAAATATTATTTTCAAAACAGACCTTATTCCTATCTAGGACTTCAGTGAACAGCTTTATAGAGCATTTTTTTTGTAACATGAATGAAACTTGCTATCTAATTTTCTTTTTAAGTGTGCCTAGTTTCTCACTTTTAAGTGACTTATTCTTTTTCCTCTTGATATTGGAAGAGGTGACCAGAAAAATGCTACTACTACATAATGTGGGCATGTGTAGATATACATGTATATTATTATAGTTCCACATCATAAATGAAATCATTAGCATTTTTCACCTCTACTTTGAATTACAAGGTTAAATTGCCAGGTTAATTACATAGGTACTTTAAATTTTTCATCACCCAGCAGCAAATTGCTGAGCCTGGATTCAGTTAGTAATTTTGTTGTACAAACATGCCATTTGGAAAAAAATTCAATGGGAAAATGTTGTGATGATATATTGTACATGTTAATTTTTTATCTTTAACTCTGCTCATGATCATTTAGGGTTAATGATAATGAATTTTGGAAACTATGTACTCTGACCTTATGAGAGTACAAATTGGTATGTCCTAAAATAAGAACTTAATAAAGGAGGGAAATCCCTTTTGTCCACTCTTAAGAACAGTGTATTGTTTAGATTTAAAGCCAAGTTACCTTTTTCTTTGAGTTATGAAGTTTTATTATAACATGTATTAGATAATATCCTTAATTAAAAACATTTCTCATCTATTTTCATTGTGCTATTGATGTCAAGTACTGCAGAAATATTACTGCAGATTCCCAGGATGCATAGGGATTTCCTCTGGCTGTTTTCAGTGTTGAAGTTCCGGTTTTGTGTAATATTCAAGAATGCAATCGCTGTGCGTTTATTTAGTCATCCTTAAAAATTGATTATCTTCTTGATTACAGTCTATTGAGGATTCAAGTTGTGTTTAATTTATTTTGAATCCCTATAGTAGGACCTAGTTTAAGTGAACAGGTGAATGACCAGAAACTTTTACATGCTACCTATACTCAAAAGTATAAAAGATTTTGTCTTTAGTTCTCATCAGTGGGCATATTGATCTTATTATCTGTTTGAATTTCATGTTTGAGTGCACAGAAACTTCTATATCCCATGTAAAATTGGCTGAATTTTAAAAGCCAGGGTCAGGGTGGGATATGATATCATGGAGGCCACTGAGAATACCACAAAGTCATTGGGGAATTTAAGGAGAAACACTGTACTGAGAAAGAATTCCTGGAGATATTGAAATTTGTATATAGAGCTTAAAGCTTGATTAAGCCTTTGAGAAGATCCAAAAGCATAGTATAAATTAAAGTCTTAAATCCCACCTACTATTCTAGTTATATTTTGGGATGGCAGATTCCAGTTTTAAGCCTTTGCTGCATCGTTACATTTAGTTGGTATTTATTTGGAAAGTCTGGGGTCAAGTAGAAAAGAATACAGCATTCTGTACACATAGTCCATGTTATTTGGGCATTCAAACCATGGTGGTATTTGGATTTTACTTACCGTAGACAGATTTGCTTTTGTCTGGTAAGATATAATTCACATCATTATCTAGAATGCCAATAAAAAAGTATTTATGTCTCATATTAAAATGCCAAAAAAAATTAAAAGGCCATCCAACTTTTTAAATCAATTTGGAAATGGCAAACACAGGTCAGGAAACTATTCTTGGATTTTCAGAAAGATAACATTTTTATGCTAGGGAAGACTAGTTCCAATAAAAAATCATAACACTAGGAAAAGATTTAAAGAATAGTTGTTTAAAGAAAAAAATGATACAATGTAATGGCTCTATGGCTAAGTAGGTCATAATCACTCCTTGAAACTCTTAGCATCTGTTTTTACTAGTTTAGAAGCTCTTCTATTCACTGGTTCCTTAATTTGGATTGTGGGGGCTGATTATTTTTGAAAAAAAGGGTTCTTTATACCCAGAAAAAAGTGTTTGGATTTGGTATTAAAATTTTTGCATATTAACAGTAAGTTTATGGAATTCCCTAGATCACCTGTGAATCCTGTAGACATCCTTATTTCTTAAGTCCTGCTATAATAGTTATACTACCCCGAGACTAGTCTGTTACATTAAAAAATAACTTTAGAGAAATGTGTCCCCTTTATACCTAAAGTAGAGTACTCTTTCTTACTAAGTAATTTCTAGGAAATCCTGTGTATAATAGTTAACTTGTGAATTTTGTTTTCTAAAGATGACAGATTAATAAAACATTGAGATATTTAATTTATTTTGGGAAGATAAATTTAATGGGCAATGAACATGCATTAGAGAAATTGAAACTGACAAAATATTTTAAATAACATTCTCTAAACCTTTACAAAAGCATTACCCTAAGAAAATGTTTATAAGGTAATTGTATGTTGCTAACTCTGAGTTTAGAATTTTAAAAATATAAACATTTCCTCTAAAGCACCTGTATATGTCAGTCTTCCTCTTTATACAACTCTCACCTCCCACCCTCTGTACCCTATTTATAACCTATCTATGTATCCAGTTTGAATGAAAATAGAACAGCAGCATTTTTAAGAACAAGACTTTTCTAGATGTGTTCTCTGCAACCTATTTGCCATATATTTATTATTTGCAATTTGTAAGTCAATTCAAACATTAGATAAAAAGAATACATCAATAGGGTATTTAACTACACGTAGGTTGAGGTCAAATATCAATCTTTGGGGTTAGAGTTTCAAAGAAGTTATATCAGAACTGTATCAATGTGCTAAATCCATTTATCTTTATTTTGAATGTTTCCTATAGTCTTTCAGTAAAGCATTCATATTAAAATTGAGTGTGATATTTACTGTTATAATGTTCTTGAAAATATTAAACCAGAAACTTCAGAGTTGGTTATATTACACATAAATGTTAAGAGAATTACCAGCCTAGAATTTGGTTCTTTAATTTTTTGTTTCCCATGGTGCCACATTACATTGTTCTTTAACAATGAGCCATTTACTGACTCTTCTTTGGTTATGTTTTAGATGACCGAACGCCTCAGTATGGAATTAGTTACATTTGAATTATTGAATATACAGATTGAAGGAAGGCCCTATTGCCTACTACCAACTGTGTGTTACATGTCTGACTTGTAAAATCTGTAACTGCTTAGGAAAGCCTTTTCCCTGAAACACGTTCACACATTTTTATTAATCTTTTACATTTCTAACAATTAAGCCTGCTAAGTTAATACCACTTGGAAAAATAGATGGGATGTTGAGGTTTGACAGTATTATTTATGAAAAGGGATAAAATTTTGAATAGTATATAAATATATGTAAAAACTAATAGCAATTTATTTCACTGGTTCACTTTAATCTCTATCCCTTCCTTTTAGTTTATAGATACCAGTGTGTTTTCAGCTTTAGAAATAGTCTAAAACATTCAATTTCTTGCTACATCAGAATGTAGTATATCTATGGTATTTTCAGTTTCACCTGCTATTGAAATGAGACTTTTTTTAACCGAACTTGTCTTTTTTAATTATCACTTTAATATTTCTCATGTTTGTGAAAGATTAGAATTTTCTTAAAATATACAACTTTGATCACACTATCCATGCTCAGAATTTTCAGTGGTGTTGCATTGCTTCCCAAAATAAAGTCTAGATTTCATAATCAGTTCTTCATCACCACCTAGATGATGACTACAGGTGTTTTTGTAATATTTGACCTTGCCAGCATCTGACAAGTGGTAATTATCCTGTGCTTAATCAGACCCCTGCTCTTTATCATCAATTACTCAAAATTGTAGAATTTAGTTTTTGTTGTTGCAGACGACCTGATAGTATAGAAAGAAAAAAAAAAAACAAAAACAAAAAACTTATGATTGAATCAGAATAACTAGGAATTTCTTTGTAAGTCAAGCATTTTTATCTCTAGGAATTTTGTGTATACAACCCGTCTGGGGTAGTCTTTCCCCAACTTTTTGCCTGACTACTTCATTTTCATCTTTGAAGATTTGACTTAAATGTTTTTCTCCTTTCTAATGGGCCTTCTTGGCATTTGTTAGAGCACTCTGTCTCAACGTTAGCACCTTTGTTATTACTAATCCCCCAGTAGAGTGAAGCTGAGTGCAGGCACTATTAACTTTCACTTTCGTTGTATTTCCATTGCTTTACACAGACTTGGCAGGTATTTGGTAGACTGCTGTTTAATTAAAGATATAAACAAGGGAGCAAATGCTAACTTTTGTTTAGAGCCTCGCGTATTCCTAGTTATTGCTTATCTACTGAAGATCATGCCTAGCATACATAAGTACTCATTGTTTAGTGAATAAAGCCAAATTAATCATCCTGAGTAATGTTACAGATCTCTAATTCTAGTAGATGGAATTATTAAAGTTTTATGCTTTTGTAAAAAGTGAGAAAACTGAGCTCCCAATGTTAGATAGCTGCTTGAAGTTTGCCCAGTTTGGGAGGTTTTTTTCTCTGACTTTTGGGCATTTTTCATTTTTAACTGTTAAAGCTTACGTGTTTTTTTTTTTGCACCTTATTTCCATTCTGACTTCCTTATTTTGGAAGAATTTAAACACCAATTCTAATGAAATACACATGAACAAAATAACTACTTAATATATTTCTAATGTATTTCTTTGATGCTTAAGTTAATGGTTTTTGTGATTATTTGCAACTCAAAAACATTACTTGTAAAGGGATTTATAGAGTTTTAAGTGTTAATTTAAATCGTTATGATTTTGCTTCCTCATTCAGTTACTGGAAAGCACTTTCATTCATTGTATTTTCAAACAAGTATGCTTATTTAAATATTTGTGTGTTGAATACTTCTTATAAAGGGGGGAAAGAATGAAAATATACTTAATATCTAGAGTAGAAAAGGGAGTAATATGGAAATATTGATATTTTCAAATCACTAGAGACTCAAGCTGTTTGACACTACTATGAAATCTTATTTGTTGCCTATGTTCAAAATATATTTGCATATTATAGTTGAGAAAAGTGCACAGTGGTTAGCAGAGGCCACATTATATTAGTAGATTGCCAGTCACCCTACTAAAAATGAACTTTTTAATAATAAAATAATCAAATGTAGGTGATTCCCAAAAGTTCACATAATATAAGCTGGCAAATATTTGGTGACATTGGCAATAAGTGGTACATATCTGAATGACATTGGTGACAAGATTTGGGACAGGATTTTCCTGTAGGAAGCAAAGCCCTGTAATGTATGCTGCTCACAGTTCATGCAAGTTACTCCAGGAAGTTAAATGGAAAGCATTTGTTTAGCAAAGACCTAAGGTTTTGATGTAATGGCTACACTAATAGGAGCACTACAGCTTGATGATAGAATGAGCTTAGAGTACAAAACATTGTCAGGGATTTAATGCTGGATCTATGAATCACTGACCGTGAGGAGACTCCTAGGAATTAAGAGAAGTTCTGTAATCACAAGTTTAATGGTGTGAGAGCCACTTTATATTAGACAAAGAGTTTAGGACTGAGGAAAAAGTTGTTAAGTAATGTCTCAGTATCTTAAGCTTTTTTTTTGACTTGGTAAATGTTTATTGACCACTTACTATGACCCAGGGATTTTAGTACAGTGAAGTAACTTTTCTTATTCTACTTTTATGCTTTTCTTACTTGTATAAAGTAACTTTCATGTTTAATAAAGAGTTTATTTTATTAGAAAGAGTGTCTCTGTGATCTCTTGTTGGTACTATCTTACTATAGCTGCTGTCATCATCTGATGCTTTGTCTAAGTTGTAGGTAAAATCCTAACCTTTGAATAGAGCAGTATTGCTAAGGTAATGTGGACTTGGTAGTCTGCAAGTAGCTTAGCAGGTTCCGGGGGGGAAAAGTAGCACTGAGACTTTTTCACAAATATTTTGCAAATTTTATGCATGTAGTTGACATATTTTGCAGATTTTAAGTATAAGATCTGATTTCACAACTATTTTAATAGTTTTTTTTTGTTGTAATGTGCAATCATTAGGTGCGTTATGTACACAAGGATTGTTAATCAGATTTTCTCAGCGAACATGAAATCAACAGTGTTATCTTCACTTAATGTACTTTCCTAATAATGTCAGTGTTTGTTAAATTAAGGTTTTATGATTAATACTTTCCCCTCTCTTAAAAGTAAAAAAACATCTCCATTCATGAAAATGTCATAATACACAGTAGAATGAACTTCACTGTGAATGCAGAAATACATCTCCCTGAGTTGTGCAAGTGCCTCTGTGATTTTTTCCCCCAAAACATCAAATGAACTATAAAAGAAAGGACAGTGGTCAGTAGTTGAACCATTTTTTGGCCAGCAAGCCACTCACCATAAAGCAACATAGACCAGTAGCATATTTGCATGTTACCATCACAGTTTTCACATCACTTTTAAAGCACATAGATTTCATTGGAAATGAAATTAGCCTATTTTTTTCTAAACAAGTATAAAATACATTTCAGCTTAAAATGTGCATGCAAGATAGAGAAGAGATTTAAATTGCCTCAGCATTCAGATATGGATTCTTTAAAACCAAGTAGACACTTAGCCAGTTTCTATTCTAGGTGTCTGTAAGTGAAACCTGCCCACAGATAGTGGCAGAAAGCCACCTCACCTTAGATAATCACTGGGGTCCTTATCAGATTAAGCATTTGGACACAGGTAAATTTCAGCATCTTTGTTTTAATGGTTATATACTCATTGTCAATTTGTTTTCTGTTTTCTAATGTAATCCTCAGAAATAATGTTCCCTAGTTTTTGACCACTGTGAAGTAACATGTTATATGGAGGCCTGAATTTGAAGACCTGGTTCAAATATTAAGTCTATAGCAAACTAATAAAAAGAAGCTTATAAAACTGTCATCAACATTAGTAACAAGTATGATCGAACCAAAAACAAAAGCTATTGGAAATTTCTCTCAAAAAGAAAATTGCATAATTCTGGGATAAAGAACTGGGAAGAGCAATTCCTATCATATATGTATTCTAGAGGAGGATTATTTTGCAGACAGAACCACTGACTTGCAATGCCTAAATCAGCTGGTATATGTGTACTAATACATGAGTTTGAGAAGTCCTTAGCAACTTCTTGTTCCAGTCATCTCTGAAAGCCCATGAATGTAGAAAGCAAAATCATGCTTTTGAAATGAGTTTTGATGAGTAAAAAAAGATATCATGATCTTTAATGATGGAGTACAGGCTATTTGGAGAGAAATAAAGTAAGTAAATAAGGTTATTATACAAAAAGCCAATAGACTTACTCCCCACTTAAAAGAGAACAGTTAATTTTTAACATACTTGAGATGATATCATTTTTTTTAAGATTTATTAATTTATTCATATGGAACTGGGGTACAGGCCAGAAATGTGGAGAGTGAGAGGATTCACCAGAGACAGAGAGGGGAGCAGAACAGGCAGATCAATGAAGTACACTGCTGAGGGGAGCAGTGGGCGGGTCAGGAGAGGTCTGCCTCGCCATGTGGATCTCCTCCAGGGCAGGCGGGAATCGAACTCATGCAGAAGTGGCTTTAGCTTCTCAGTGCTGTGCTTTAACCCACTGCGCCACCAGGGAGGGCCGAGATGGTATCATTTTTATAATCTTCTATAACAAATGGGACAAAGAGTCACAAAACTTAATTCTTTTCTCTGATGCTGTGATTAAAGCACCGTTATTCACATGAGATTTTAAGGTAAGAGCAGATATTTAAACCATTTTGTTGATACATTATTAATGTTAGTAGTTTGCTTTTCCTTGATATAAGGTGCCTGGCTCAAATGACACATCAACCAGTCTATCTACTCTCTTGAAAAGAAGTCCCTCCAGGTCCAGAATGTTTACGATAATGACAGGTCAGATTTTTTCAAGATCACACAGCTGTTTTGTCAGTGGCCCAATTCTACAGCTTTATCTCCCTTTTTCACTTTCTTGTCTTACCACAGAAACATTTTGGGACTTACTTAAAATCATGCCATATAACGCAACACAACATGAAAGAATAGTTTCCTGAGATGTATGTGTGTGTGTATCACCATCTTTATATATATTTATATCTATGACTAGACATATCTATCACTGTTGTGTGTGTGTGTGTGTGTGTATCACCATCTGCAGGTAGATTTTTATTTTGGTGACTGCCTGAGAACTGTGAGAGAATGCATATGAATAAAAATAAATTTTTTATGTGAATCAAGAAAATCAAAACTTTTTAAAACCAGAACACTGATAAGCTTCCTCTCTCTATAGGAATAGGGTAGTAGAGAGTAAAATTTGCAGGGAGAAAATAGAGATTCAACAAGTTGTATAATAAAATTGCATGCTGACCTGACTTTAATCCTGTTTGGGTTTTGTTTTTTTTTTTTTTTTTGAAAAAGCAGTAATCACCTTTTCACACAGTAATTTAACTGAAATTTTCACTATTCAAGCTGATATTTTAGCAACTATTCAAAGACCTTATACCTGGATAAGGCTTACTTTGAAACATTTACAGTATTGGAGTGAAAAAATAATTTAAAAAATTTTGTTCATGTCACCATTAACTAACATTTCCAGGATAACATGTCATTTAATAATGCAATCTTTCAAAAGTGTGTAGAATAAGGGAATGTTTTGCATGCTTTTTCAGAGGGAAGGAATATTTCCATTGAATGAATTTTTATATAATTTGTTATTTTCTAGCTAAAGAAATCTTTTATTCATTATAATGAATAAATGGGTAAATATTGTCATATTTCTGTACCTAAATCAGAGGGTTTGCTGTGATGTCTTTTTCACTTTGTAGGCTAGTCTTTGCAAGACTTGGCACTTGTGGACTTTCATGGTAGGAAAGCTTCTAAGAGCTGTACACAAAAA